TCTCTTCAGTCCTTTTTGAGTTGTTAACGGTGCGCGTCGTGTTTAAGTAAAGTAATAAAAGGAATTTAGTTAAAAGTGTTAAAAATATTAATAAGTGTTAAAAACCATAGTGTTTTTTATTAAAATCCAAGTTATTTATGTAAAAACTTATTTTTCTAAGAAAATTTAATATAATTCTTTTAAATTTTAGTAATTAAAATGTTCGTTAATGTTTTTCATTCGTCCGCCATTTCGTTTGTGTATCGTTTTGTTAAAATAAAAGTAATAAAAGGAAATAATTCTTAATTTTACAATCTGCTACTACAAAGTAAGTTTGTTTTTATTGTCTTTGTTTAATTTGTGTTAATAAATCTTTATTAAAATCATAACAATTTCGCACAATTTCCTTTCAATGTCAATTATCAAATTGTTTGCCCTTCAATTGTTGAGCTATTTCTGCTTTGTCATGTTTTGTCTTTGCATTGCAATGTTGTTGTTGTTTTTATTTGAATGGCTTGCACTTGCTTGCTGCTTTCATACTGTGTTACATACATATGTATGTATGTTTGTAATGTGCATATGTTTGTATGTTTGTTTCTTAATTTTGGGTGAATAAATGGGAGTGAATATTAAAGTGATTTTGTTTACGTTTTCTGCTCTCTTCATTGTTATGAGTTCGTGTCTTTTATGCACTGCTGTTGTCTGTTTGTTTTTGCAAATCATAACAATGACTTCACTTATTGTTGTTTTTGTTTTGTGTATTAAAGGGTGTTATTGCTTGTTGGCAAGTGGGAGTGAGATTTTTTGTTTTTTTTATTACTTTTTTCTTGTTATTGTTGGTGTTTTGCATTAGCTCTGGTTATTTTCGTTGTTTTTGTAAATAGTGTTTTCTTTTTCTTTGGGGAAATAAGATGTTTTGTTATTACCGTTTTGTTGTGTTTTATGAATGAAATTTTGGACATTTGCCGGTATGCATTAAATAAGAATAAATAGAAGATAATATTGTTGTAGTAATTTCCTTGGTTGTTTGTTTTTGCAAGTCATTTGTTAAGCGCTAATGTTGCGGTTTTTCTGTTGTTTTGCTGTTAATACGGGTAATGAAGACTAGACTATAGGAGAGCATATTGAGTAGACTGTAGACAAAACTATAGACTAGACTATAGACTAGTCCATAGACAAGACTATAGACTAGACTATATACTAGACTATAGACTAGACTATAGACTAGACTATAGATTAGACTATAGACTGGACTACAGACTAGTCTATAGACAAGACTATAGACTAGACTATATACTAGACTATAGACTAGACTATAGACTGGACTATAGACTAGACTATAGACCAGACTATAGACTAGACTATTGACTAGACTCTAGTCTAGACTATTGACTAGACTATAGACTAGACTATTAACTAGACTATAGACTAGACTATAGACTAGATTATGGACTAGAATATTGATTAAACTATAGACAACACTATAGAATAATCTATAGAATAGACTATAGACCACACTATAGAATAGACTATTTTACTTTTTTCTGATACCATTTAAATATACATTGTAATACATATTCAACTTTACATATTTTCTTTATAACACCGTGTTTAGGTTGTTTGCTGTTATTAAGTAATGTTAACGCAACAATGTTAACTTAAACTTTATTTAGTTTATGTTAACTGTTATTTCTTTCACATTTACCTTATTCGTCAACTTAATGTAACATTCTGTTAACTTACTTCCCATTGCCTTCTAATGTTATTAACATTCTGTACTCACATTTCCACAAACTTCCTGCTCGGCTTTCTTTCGTTTATTCAATAAACTTTTTTGTTATTCTCTTCAGTCCTTCTTGAGTTGTTAACGGTGCGCGTTGTGTTTAAGTAAAGTAATAAAAGGAATTTAGTTAAAAGTGTTAAAAATATTAATAGTGTTACAAACTATAGTGTTTTTTTATTAAAATCCAAGTAATTTATGTAAAAAGTTACTTTTTCTAAGAAAATTTAATATAATTCTTTTAAAATTGGTAATTAAAGTGTTCGTTAATGTTTTTTATTCGTCCGCCATTTCGTTTGTGTATCGTTTTGTTAAAACAAAAGTAATAAAAGGAAATAATTCTTAATTTTTACAAGCTGCTACTACAAAGTAAGTTTGTTTTTATTGTCTTTGTTTAATTTGTGTTAATAAATCTTTATTAAAATCATAACAATTTCGCATAATTTCCTTTCAATGTCAATTAACAAATTGTTTGCCCTTCAATTGTTGAGCTATTTCTGCTTTGTCATGTTTTGTCTTTGCATTGCAATGTTGTTGTTGTTTTTATTTGAATAGCTTGCACTTGCTTGCTGTTTTCATACCAACTTGGGTGAATAAATGGGAGTAAATATTAAAGAGATTTTGTTTATGTTTTCTGCTCTCTTCATTGTTATGAGTAAGTGTTTTTTGGAGTGCAGTTGTCTGTTTGTTTTTGCAAATCATAACAATGACTTCTCTGATTGTTGCTCTTGTTGTTTTGTGTATTAAAGGGTGTTATTGCTTGTTGGCAAGTGGGAGTGAGATTTTTTGTTTCTTTTTATTACTTTTTTTCTTATTATTGTTGGTGTTTAGCATTAGCTCTTATTATTTTCGTTGTTCAGAGTTTTTGCTTTTGTAAATGGGGAATGAGGTGTTTTTGTTATTATTATTTTGTTGTTGTTTATGAATAAATTTTAGGACATTTACCGGTATGCATTAAAGAAGAATAAATAGTTCATAATAGTTGTTGTAGCAGTTTCCTTGTAATTCACTTGCCAAGTGATAATGTTGTGGTTTTTCTGCTATTAATCCTGGTAATGAAGACTAGACTATTGAGTAGACTGTAGACAAAACTAGAGACTAGACTAGACTATGGACTGGACTTTAGACTAGACTATAGACTAGACTATAGACTAGACTATAGACTAGACTATAGACTAGACTATAGACTAGACTATAGACTAGACTATAGACTAGACTATAGACTAGACTATAGACTAGACTATAGACTAGACTATAGACTAGACTATAGACTAGACTATAGACTATAGACTAGACTATAGACTAGACTATAGACTAGACTATAGACTAGACTATAGACTAGACTATAGACTAGACTATAGACTAGACTATAGACTAGACTATAGACTAGACTAGACTATAGACTAGACTATAGACTAGACTATAGACTAGACTATAGACTAGACTATAGACTAGACTATAGACTAGACTATAGACTAGACTATAGACTAGACTATAGACTAGACTATAGACTAGACTATAGACTAGACTATAGACTAGACTATAGACTAGACTATAGACTATAGACTAGACTATAGACTAGACTATAGACTAGACTATAGACTAGACTATAGACTAGACTATAGACTAGACTATAGACTAGACTATAGACTAGACTATAGACTAGACTATAGACTAGACTATAGACTAGACTATAGACTAGACTATAGACTAGACTATAGACTAGACTATAGACTAGACTATAGACTAGACTATAGACTAGACTATAGACTAGACTATAGACTAGACTATAGACTAGACTATAGACTAGACTATAGACTAGACTATAGACTAGACTATAGACTAGACTAGACTAGACTATAGACTAGACTATAGACTAGACTATAGACTAGACTATAGACTAGACTAGACTAGACTATAGACTAGACTAAAGACTAGACTAAAGACTAGACTATAGACTAGACTACAGACTAGGCTATAGACTGAACTATAGAATAGACTATAGGCTAGACTATAGACTCGACTATAGACTAGACTATAGGCTAGACTATAGGCTAGACTATGGAATAGACTACAGGCGAAACTATAAACTAAACTATAGACAAGACTGTAGTCCAGATTTTGGACTATAGACTGAACATTAGACAAGACTGTAGTCCAGATTTTGGACCATAGACTAAACTAAAAACTATTAGACCATAGGCTAAACTATAGACTAGACTATTAACTACTAGACTATCGGCTAGATTATAGACGATATTAAAGGCTATACTATAGAACATGCTTTAGACTAGACTATGGACTATAAATTAGACTATATACTTTACAATATACTACTCTATAGTCTAGTCTATAGTCTCGTCTATTGTCTAGTATATAGTTTAGTCTATAGTATAGTCTATAGTCTAGTATTGTCTAGTTTATGTTCTAGTCTAGAAACTAGTCTATAGGGCCCGACTGAAATTTTTCCCCTTCCTCTGAAATAAAACTTTGTTTCGTTTCATTTTTTTAATAATTTGGCTTTTTTTATTTATTATTTAATATTATTTTTTGTTTTCTTGTCACTTAACAACTTTTTACAATAATTTCATGTTTTTTTTTTTTTAATTTTTAATAATAATTGTTTTAGTTATTACACAGTTTTAATTTTCTTTATTATTACATATGCTGGTTTTCGTTAAAATTAAAATTAGTAAATATAACTTGGCTTTTTTTGTTTTTGTTTAAAATAAAAAAATTATTATTTAAACTTTATTATTATTTATAATATTTAATTAAAAAAAAAGAACACATTTAAGCAAATAATGGAATTGTTTTGTTTGTTAAATCGTTGAGTATAAAAACAGGCAGAGTTTTGGTTAAAATACAAAGAAAAATAAACTAAAATTTTTAAAAAATAAAATTTGTTTTTTTAAAATCTTTTTCACAAAAACAAAATTACACTGGTATATTTTTTTGTTTGTTTTTTAAGGCTGCCTGATTATTTTTTTTTTTGATAATTTTTCAATAATTTTACAGTTTTAATGCATGCAGTTTCTATTTTATATAAAATTGTTTTTTTTTGGTAAATTTCAAGTGTTGCCAGATTTTTTGTTTAAATTTTCTTTTATTAGGCTTTAGTTGTTTTTGTTATTTTTTTTTTAATTATTTCTTATTTAATTTTAAAATATATGACACATTTGTTTTTTTTACTTTTTCAAGTAAAATGTTTTTTTCTTTAATGTTAGTTTTGGCTTAAAAATTATTTTTTTTTATAAAAAAAACTATTATAAAGTAAATTTTTTGTTACGATTTTTGTGTTGATTTTTTTTCTTGTTTCCTTAATATTTTTTTCGTAAAAAGTTTTATTTTTTTGTTTTTAAGAATTTTTTTTGGTTAAAAACTAAAAAAGAAAAAAACTATTAAACGACTGGGGGTTCGGGGTCGTCAATTTCATCCACTCTAAAAAAATTAAAAAAAATTAATAAAAAACATTAATAAAAAATTATAAAAAATAAAAATTAATTTCTAAAGATATTTTTTTCTATTTTTTGTAGCCTTTATTTTTGCATTATATTCTTTAATTTATTTTACATTTATAAGTTTTATACACATTTATGCTATAATATCAATTATTGATTTCATTCACAGCGCTTTAATATTATATTTTATATATATATTTATATAAATTTAATTATTATATTTATAATTAATAGTATACTTTTATTTTTTCTTCACTTAATTTAGCCATAAATTGAGCAAAATTATTGAAATGAAACAGAAAAAAAAGACAAGTTGTTAACACAAGACTAAAGACTTGACTAGAGACTGGTATAAATTCCAGAATAGACTATAGTCGTAACTATAGGCAATATATTAGACTTTAAAACAGACTATAGTTTAAACTGTAGGATATGATATAGTCTAGACTGTAATATATAATCATGATTCTAGTCTAGCATATAGTCCGGACAATAGACTAGATTACAGCTCAGACTTGAGACTAGATTATAGTCCAGACTATAGTCTACAATATAGTTCAGACTTTAGACAAAACTAAAATCTAGACTTGAGACTCAACTATAATTTAGATTTTAGTTTGAACTATAGTCCAGACTTTAGACTAATATATAGTTCAGACTTTAGACTAAACTATAGTTCAGACTATAGACTAAACTATAGTCCAGACTATAGACTAAACTATACTCCAGACTATAGACTAAACAATAGTCCAGACTACAGATTCAACTATAGTGCAGACTATAGATTAACTATAGCCTGGACAATAGACTAAACTATAGTCCAGATTGAAATATAAACTATTGTCCATACTATAAACTAAACTATAGTCTAGACTATAGACTAAACTGTAGTCCAGACTTTAGATTAAACTATAGTACAGACTATAGACTATACTATAGTCCAGACTATAGAGTAAACTATATTCCAGACTACAGATTAAACTATAGTGCAGATTATAGATTAACAATAGACCAGACTATAGATTAAACTATAGTCCAGACTATAGAAAAAACAATGGTCCAGACTATAAATTAAACTATAGCCCAGTCCAAACACCAAACTATAGTCCAGACTATAAAGTAAACTACAGTCCAGACTATAGACTAAACTATAGTCCAGACTATAGATTAAACTATATTCCAGACTATAGACTAACCTATAGTTCAGACAATATACTAAACTATAGTCCAGACTATAGACTAAACTATAGTCCAGACTTTAGATTAAACTATAGTCCAGACTATAGACTAAACTATAATCCAGACTTTAGATTAAACTATAGTCCAGATTATAGATTAGTCTAAAGTTAGACTATACACTAAACTATAGTCCACACTATAGACTAAACTATAGTTCAGACTTTAGACTGAACTATGGTCCAGACTATAGAATAAACTATAGTCCAGACTATAGACTAAACTATAGTCCAGTTTTTGGACTAAATTTTAGTCCCGACTATAGGCTAAACTATAGTCCAGACTATATACTAAACTATATTCCAGACTATAGACTAAACTATAGTCCAGACTATATATTTAATTATTTATATAGACTAAAATGTAGTTCAGACTATAAACTAAACAATAGTTCAGACTATAGACTAAATAATAGTCTAGACTATAGACTAAACTAAAGTCTAGGCTATAGATTAAATTATAGTCCAGACTATAGACTAAACTGTAGTTCAGACTATAGACTAAACTATAGTCCAGACTATAGATTAAACTATAGTCCTGACTATAGAGTAAACTATAGTCCAGAATAGATTAACTATAGTCCATACTATAGACCAAACTATAGTTCAGACTATAGATTAAACAATAGTCCAGACTATAGACTAAACTACCAGACTATAGACTAATCTATGGTCCAGACTATAGACTAAACTATAGTCCAGACGATAGAGTAAACTGTAGTCTAGACATTAGACTAATCTATAGACTTTAGAGTAAAATAATAGTCCCGGCTATGGATTAAACTATAGTTCAGACTATAGACTAAATTATAGTCCAGACTATAAACTAAACTATTGTCCAGACTATAGACTAAACTATAGTGCAGACTATAAATTAAAATATATTCCACACTATAGATTAAACTATAGTCCAGACTATGGACTAAACTATAGTCCAGTCTATGGACTAAACTATAGTTCAGACTATAGACTAAACTATAGCCCAAACTATATACTGAACTTTAGTCCAGACTATAGACTGAACTATAGTCCAGACTATAGATTAAACCATAGTCCAAACTATTGACTAAACCATAGTCTACACTATTGACTAAACTATAGTCCAGACTTTGGACCAAACTATAGTCCAGACTATAGACTAAACTATAGTCCAGACTTTAGATTAAACTATAGTCCAGACTATAGACTAAACTATAATCCAGACTTTAGATTAAACTATAGTCCAGATTATAGATTAGTCTAAAGTTAGACTATACACTAAACTATAGTCCACACTATAGACTAAACTATAGTTCAGACTTTAGACTGAACTATGGTCCAGACTATAGACTAAACTATAGTCCAGTTTTTGGACTAAATTTTAGTCCCGACTATAGGCTAAACTATAGTCCAGACTATATACTAAACTATATTCCAGACTATAGACTAAACTATAGTCCAGACTATATATTTAATTATTTATATAGACTAAAATGTAGTTCAGACTATAAACTAAACTATAGTTCAGACTATAGACTAAATAATAGTCTAGACTATAGACTAAACTAAAGTCTAGGCTATAGATTAAATTATAGTCCAGACTATAGACTAAACTGTAGTTCAGACTATAGACTAAACTATAGTCCAGACTATAGATTAAACTATAGTCCTGACTATAGAGTAAACTATAGTCCAGAATAGATTAACTATAGTCCATACTATAGACCAAACTATAGTTCAGACTATAGATTAAACAATAGTCCAGACTATAGACTAAACTACCAGACTATAGACTAATCTATGGTCCAGACTATAGACTAAACTATAGTCCAGACGATAGAGTAAACTGTAGTCTAGACATTAGACTAATCTATAGACTTTAGAGTAAAATAATAGTCCCGGCTATGGATTAAACTATAGTTCAGACTATAGACTAAACTATAGTCCAGACTATAAACTAAACTATTGTTCAGACTATAGACTAAACTATAGTGCAGACTATAAATTAAAATATATTCCACACTATAGATTAAACTATAGTCCAGACTATGGACTAAACTATAGTCCAGACTATAGACTAAACTATAGTTCAGACTATAGACTAAACTATAGCCCAAACTATATACTGAACTTTAGTCCAGACTATAGACTGAACTATAGTCCAGACTATAGACTGAACTATAGTCCAGACTATAGATTAAACCATAGTCCAAACTATTGACTAAACCATAGTCTACACTATTGACTAAACTATAGTCCAGACTTTGGACCAAACTATAGTCCAGACTATAGACTAAACTATAGTCCAGACTATAGACTAAACTATAGTCCAGACTATAGACTAGACTATAGACAAGACTATAGACTAAACTATAGACCAGATTGTAAACCTCACAATGGCCTAGACTTTAGACTAGAACATAGAACAGAAAATAACTAGACTATAATCTAAGCTACTGTCTACCGCAGACAAGGTTAGAGGCTATATCAAGACTTGACTTGATATTCCGGACTACAGCCTGGGCTTCTAGTCAACTGAACTGGGCTATAGACAAGATAATAATCCAGATTATAAATTAGACTATATTAACGTATGTATTTCGTACACAGTAGAGTATACTATAGCTTTGACTAAGGTCCCCCTTATGTTCACAATATAGTCTACATCAGATTACAGCTTAACTGTAAAGCTTACTTCCAACTTAAGATATTTAAGCCAAATTATTGTTGCATTATTAGTGGTTTAATAACAGTTTTGAGCTGTTGACATGTTATTGATATGTTGATAATGTTTTGAAGCTTTTTCTTATGGAATTATTTATAATAATTTCTTTCCAATGATATGAGGATATACAATAACTATTATTTAATATTATACAGTTTGATGTTGTTGTTGTTTTTTGCGGTATATATTGTTATATAAAAACAAAATTCTTACAAATTCCTAAATATAATTGACTAGAAAACTTTTCTCTGTTAAAAATAAATTGAGCTACTAAATTGACTAATTTAGGATGTTTTAAACTTTAAATTAATATTTTAAAGTTTCTCTTTTCAATGAACGCATTTTGATTTTCAAACAAAACTTTATGTTTTCAATTTGATTTTAAAATAGATTTTAAAATATTTACTAGTTATTAAACAGGATTCTACTAGGTAGGTAAGAGAGGAACTTAGGGTAATTAAAAAGGTTTTAGGATTTGAGTGTCTTAGTAGGGCAGCACGACTGGTGCTGTAGGAATTTATTATGGAGGGTGTAGGTCTAGGATATAGTATATGTACGGGTGGGGGTTGATCCAAAGCATCAAACATGCTGGGATCAAAACGAAAATCATTATAATCTAACTCATGATAAACTAAACTAGAAGGATTCCAAGTTCTGCATAAGAACAGAAGAAGCAGCATGTTGTGAAAGAAAATTTATTAGAATTTAAGGCTTTGAATAGAGAAATTTAAAGATTTTAAAAGAAAATTCGATTAAAACCTTTAAATCGCATAAGTTTTGATGGTGATTCTTAAGGCTTTAATGGAATACTTACTCTGGACAAGAGTCAACATTGATACCGCTTACAGCTACTTTGCCTAGATCTATGATACCACTACTTTCACCCTCCACTACCCTAACGCAACCGTTAAAGTATTGTGTATAACGGCCGCCGGTAAAGGAAACCAAATCGGGAGCGCCACCTTAAATAGAAACAACCAATAGATTAAGATTCAGTCAACTCGAGATTTTCTATAGAAAACTCACCTATAAAGACATGGCCGGGCAGAGACATGGTATTCTTGCCGGTGGGTGTGGCCTCAGCAGTATACAATAAATGATCCAATTCCAAAATGGCAGTATTATCGGTACGTTTAATCAAAACAATATGACGTTGACCATCATCGACACGTTTATCGGGATTACGTACTACACCTTCTTCACCATTCAAACGGAATTTAAACTCAACATAACCACCGGTTATAGCTAAAGCCATATAATCTTGATTATTAAAGGCCTCACCCTTAGCTTGGCCCCACCATAATAACAAACCATTAGGTTCACTGGTCGAGAAGACCATGGCAGCAAAAGAGTACTTCTGTTCGATGTTCTCATCAAATTGGGATCTATTCAATTCCAAATAACCATTGCCATGGAAATTGGCATCGAATTGTAGGGTTATGTCTAAAAAGATCAATAATTTAGCAAAAAAAGATCTCTCGCTACAAAGGTTAAACCTTTCAACTTACGTTCTTCACAGTGTTTGCCGGTAAAGCCTACCATACAGCTGCATACCGCCATATCATCTATGATCGTACACTGGCCGCCATTTTCACAGGGATCACTGGCACAGGCATCCATTACACCCAAGTCATTTTCGTTAGTTAATTGATCTTCGTGGGCAAAGGTTTCGTTTTGATCGATTTCATTTATTTCGCCACAATTTTGTATATTGGCCGCATCGCTTATATCGGCTATTAAGTTAATCTCTCTCAAGCCCTCGTACAGCTGTAAACAGGAAACCAAATATATCTTCTTCCTAACCACCAATTCTCACTTTCAAAAAAACTTACATTTGATACACAACCATCAAAACCGTGCGTCACATTAACATCTCTATTCAAAGTGATCTTTTCGTGATCGTAACCGCCTATATACATGGGAGTCTTAATATATAACGTGCGTGCTGCTCCGGCAGCCTTGGCTTTTTGTTCAGGTTCTCCGCCTACTCTCAAAATGCCCTCACCAAAACGTCTGGCAATTTCTATTTCAGTCCATTTATTTACCGGCAATGGGTTCATAGATCTCACTACCACCGGTTTCAAACGGGCTCCGGTATTGATGATCAATTCCACATGTTTATTGCGCAAAACTACCGCCACAAAGTCTCCACTAGGTAATTTACTTTCGGCCGCATACAATAAAACAGCATCTTCCAAGGTATTAGGTCTTACCTGGAACTTAATGTTCAATTTGGAGGCTCTTGGGGTTCTGAAGAAAATCAAACAAAATTTATTAACTTTTAACCCTATTTGCGCTTGCCAATAACTTACCCATAAGCTGCAAAACTGTTCTTCTTGAAGGCCAAACTATTCTCATTTAAATGTTCAATATATTGACATCTATCTCCGGTCTTATTCAAAGGACACAAACATTCCATACCCATTTCGGTGTTTTCACAACGTCCAGTACCGCAAATGCCAGGAGTACACTGGGTACCCTTTATCGCACAGTTACGTCCGGTCCAGCCTTGTTGGCAGATACAGGTATAAGCCATTTCGGTTTGACTTTCCAAACAAATACCGCCATTATTGCAGGGACTATCACTGCAAGGTTGGCAGGCAGTAATGCCATCCTTAACCTTAGCCTCCTTCATCAATTCAATAATCGAACCCTGCAAAGTCAAACGGCTAATGCAACCGATAAATCCAACAGGCTGATCAACAGCATCGCGTGGCAATATATCCCAACTGGGTACACCACCCAAATACAAATCATCTACCAAATCCAAAGAACTGGAAGGCGATAAAGTTGGGAAGGCTACGGGATGTTGATCATCGACTTGCATATAACCATCACGACGGAAACGATTCACTCTAATCGTATGCCATTCATTAAGTTCCACCGGCTGTTCGGCTATAATCACCATCGATTTGCCATCGAAATCGAAACGGAATTCGGGATAACGTTCATTTAAGCTCAATGAAATATAATCACCATTACCCTTCTTTTGACCATTGAACAAGAGCAAACCATTGGGTTTTTCGGGGCGGAATGTTATGTCAAAGTTGAATTTAATATAGGAATCACGCAGGGTAGGGAAAGACATGTAACTGATAGGATCTTGATGGAATTGAGGAATGGCTCCGGTCACCACTAATATGGTGGGATAGTCAACCGATTGACCATCGGCAGCAGTGGCTGTACAGATGTAGGTGCCGGCATCACTAGCCTGAACATCGGCGAGATGTAGTTTGTCCTGGAGAAAGAAGAAAAGACCAGAATAAAGTTAAATTGGGTTAGAGAACTGAAATATAACTGAACTGAAAGTTATCTAGAACTAGATGTGATCCACAGATCACTTTAAAAACATCTAGAATTAGAAGACTAAAACAGAAATAGAATAGAACAGAACGGAACTAGAACCGAACTAAAACAGAATTAGAACAGATTGAGAACAGAACTAGAACGGAACTAGAACAGAACTAGAACATAACTAGAACAGAACTAGAACAGAACTAGAACAGAACTAGAACAGAACAAGAACAGAACTAGAACAGAACTAGAACGGAACTAGAACGGAACTAGAACAGAACAGAACTAGAACAGAACTAGAACAGAACTAGAACAGAACTAGAACAGAACTAGAACAGAACTAGAACAGAACTAGAACAGAACTAGAACAGAACTAGAACAGAACTAGAACATAACTAGAACAGAACTAAAACAGAACTAAAACAGAACTAGAACAGGACTAGAACAGAACTAGAACAGAACTAAAACAGAACTAAAACAGAACTAAAACAGAACTAAAACAGAACTAGAACAGGACTAGAACAGAACTGGAACGGAACTAAAACAGAACTAGAACAGAACTAGAACAGAACTAGAACAGAACTAGAACAGAACTAGAACAGAACTAGAACAGAACTAGAACAGAACTAGAATAGAACTAGAACAGAACTAGAACAGAACTAGAACAGAACTAGAACTAGAACAGAACTAGAACAGAACTAGAACAGAACTAGAACAGAACTAGAACAGAACTAGAACAGAACTAGAACAGAACTAGAACAGAACTAGAACAGAACTAGAACAGAACTAGAACAGAACTAGAACAGAACTAGAACAGAACTAGAACAGAACTAGAACTAGAACAGAACTAGAACAGAACTAGAACAGAACTAGAACAGAACTAGAACAGAACTAGAACAGAACTAGAACAGAACTAGAACAGAACTAGAACAGAACTAGAACAGAACTAGAACAGAACTAGAACAGAACTAGAACAGAACTAGAACAGAACTAGAACAGAACTAGAACAGAACTAGAACAGAACTAGAACAGAACTAGAACAGAACTAGAACAGAACTAGAACAGAACTAGAACAGAACTAGAACAGAACTAGAACAGAACTAGAACAGAACTAGAACAGAACTAGAACAGAACTAGAACAGAACTAGAATTCAACTAGAACTGAATTAGAACTGAACTAGAACTGAAAAAGAACTAAGCTAGAACTGAACTTGATCTGATATGGATTCAAAAGTTTCAAGGACCCTGCTTTTTAAGTATAGCTTGATCTTTTCATACTTACATTCAAGATATCAGTACCCATTTGCATTTGACCATATTGACGCGACCATCTATAGCTGGGACCCTCATAGGCATTCTCAGCATTACATAACAATTGAGCACGTGTGCCTACATCGGCATGCACAATCTTGGGATGTTTCCATTCATGAACACTAGCCTCAATATCCAATTCATAGCTGGTGGTATAAAGATCACCCTCATCGGTCTTACACTTGCAGACATAACGTCCAGCATCGTGAGGAGTAACATGGCTAATAATCAAACGATTGCCAATTTGCTAAGAAAAGGAAAAACAAGGTTTAAGATATTTGTAGCGAGGACTTAGTTATAGAGTACTTACTTGTAGATTGGGAGGCAAGGGCTCACCATCAGCTCTTTCCCATATAACATCGGTATAACTATTATCCGAGGAATAACATTCCACTTCGGTGGACTCACCCACTCTCAATTTTGATTGTTGCTGATCGACTCTTAACATGGCATCACGTACTCGAGGAGTGGTGGACACAATTGTAGAAGGATAATAGGGTAAAGGTCTTACACCAGCTGTTGTTGTTGTTTTTTTTTTGTTGTATTTCAAAGGGGATTTTTTTTTATTTGTTTTGGAGCACAGTGTATAGTGTTTAAGTTAAGAGTTGGTGGTTTTTTTTTTGCATGTTTTGAACGTTGAGAGTTTATGATCGAGAATTGAGATGAACAGCATTACACACACATACACACATATATAGAGACATATGAGAGCACATTAACGTTCAGGTGATTTTGGAAATTTTAATTTAACAATTTTTGTGCGTTGATAACGAATTTCAATTTTGATTTTGATTTTTTTTTTGGAAAAATTTGGGCCATGATTTTGATTTTTATTTTTGAGGATTGATAAGGTGAAAAAAATATAAAAATAAACATAAATATGTTAGCATAAATTGTTTTAAATTATTTGTTGTTGTTGTTTTTTTGCAGCTAAAGACAAAGACAAACAAATTTTGGTTTTTTGATAAAAGTGATTTCTAACACATAGATTTTTTTAACTAATTTTACACAAAATGAGTATTTTTTTTGAACAAAATATTACTTTAAATATTACAGCTAATTTTAAGGAAGTTTTTTTTTTGTTGTTTAGAAAATAAACCAAATACCAGTATGTAAATATATAAAAATTTTGTTTTAACCAATAACATATATATATTAAAATACTAAAGTTTTTACTTTTTACAAGTTATTTACAAAATTTTGGTTGGAAATTTTGTTTTATATATAAATATAAGAGTTAGGTAATAAGGGGATTAGTTAGTTTTTTTTTTGGGGAGTATAAAAAAACATGCAGTTTTAGAAAACACAAAAAGCCAAGGTGAAATAAAATGTTGTTTGGGGGTGAAATGAAACTAAAATAAAACAATATTTTTAAAAATTTTTTTAATATTACCTAAAATAAACCTAAAATTTATTTCAAAAAAATACCAATTTATTGTGTAACTTAACATATAACAAACTGTTTAACATTCAAGTGTTTTTAACTCTATCACATATAAGTGTTCTCTTAAACAGCAGTGCCTTTAACGGGCGCTTTTTAATCTCTCAGTGTTACTAAGTAGTGTTGCTTAAGCGTTGTTTTCTTAAAGGTGTTTTTTTTTTGTAGCACTTTTGCTCTCTTTGTGGGTGCTTGTATTTGTTCAATAAAAGTGTTGTCCATATTTCTTTAATAATTTATATTTAACTACCATCAACTTATTTAAAATGCCTTGGCCAAACCTACTTTTTGTTTGCAAAACTATATTCCAAAAAAAAATTAAAATATTAAACAAATTATTATCTTTTTGTTTTGTTTAATAATTTTTACATATAACTAAAATTAAACAATTAATACTCCATTAAAAGTGCCAACATAAAAGAAAAAATTATAAACAAATTATTTAAAACTTAAAACAAAATACATATATATATATTTTAAAACCAACCGCTTAATTTGCCTGCCATAGTCAGATTATTTCTATTCATTTGCTGATATTTTCTTTTGTGTCTTCGTTTGAAAGCATCTAAAGGCTTTAAGGGATTTAAAGGCTGATTATAGTGTTTCTTCCAGCGCTTATAATTGACCTGTTCTCTAGTACAATTGAATTCATCCGAATGATCGGTACAATCGTGTATGCCGTCACACACCATGTGGGGCGCTATGCAGGTATGGGGATGGGAGACACAATTAAAATCGCCCGGCTGGCAGCTATAGGAAGTACGACTGGCGGCTGCTGTGGCAGGTGCTTTAGTTTTTAGCGTTTTCAGTGGTTTGTAGTCTTAGGAGTGGGTTTTTAAATTTGTGTTTTTTTTTATTAAAAGGTCACAGTTTTTTTTTGTTGGAATTTATTCATTAACAAAGCAATTAATTTTTGTTTTTAATAATTGTTTAAGGGAAAAAATAATAAAATAAAAAGTAATTAATATTAAACGTAATTAGCTTCATAAAACTTAAGAAAAAGTGCAGTTTTCTTGCTAAATGCCTTAAATACTAGACAAACTGAAAAATGCTTGAAACAAGGAGAAAAAGCTTAAATTGAAATAAAAACGGATTTTATTAAACTGGAACAAAAGAGATCCAATTAGAACGGAACTTGAACAGAACTAGAACAGAACTAGAACAGAACTAGAACAGAACTAGAACAGAACTAGAACAGAACTAGAACATAACTAGAACAGAACTAGAACAGAACTAGAACAGAACTAGAACAGAACTAGAACAGAACTAGAACAGAACTAGAACAGAACTAGAACAGAACTAGAACACGACTAGAACCAGAACTGAACTAGGACTGAACTAGAACTGAACTAGAACTGAACCAGAACTGAACCAGAACTGAACTAGAACTGAACTAGAACTGAACTAGAACTGAACTAGAACTGAACTAGAACTGAACTAGAACTGAACTAGAACTGAACTAGAACTGAACTAGAACTGAACTAGAACTGAACTAGAACTGAACTAGAACTGAACTAGAACTGAACTAGAACTGAACTAGAACTGAACTAGAACTGAACTAGAACTGAACTAGAACTGAACTAGAACTGAACTAGAACTGAACTAGAACTGAACTAGAACTGAACTAGAACTGAACTAGAACTGAACTAGAACTTAACTAGAACTGAAATAGAACTGAACTAGAACTAGAAAAGAACTAGAACAAAACTAGAACAGAACTAGAACAGAACTAGAACAGAACTAGAACTGAACTAGAACAGAACTAGAACAGAACTAGAACAGAACTAGAACAGAACTAGAACAGAACTAGAACAGAACTAGAACAGAACTAGAACTAGAACAGAACAAGAACAGAACTAGAACAGAACTAGAACAGAACTAGAACTGAACTAGAACAGAACTAGAACTGAACTAGAACTGAACTAGAACTGAACTAGAACTGAACTAGAACTGAACTAGAACTGAACTAGAACAGAACTAGAACAGAACTAGAACAGAACTAGAACAGAACTAGAACTAGAACAGAACTAGAACAGAACTAGAACAGAACTAGAACAGAACTAGAACAGAACTAGAACAGAACTAGAACAGAACTAGAACTAGAACAGAACTAGAATAGAACTAGAACAGAACAAGAACAGAACTAGAACAGAACTAGAACAGAACTAGAACTGAACTAGAACAGAACTAGAACAGAACTAGAACAGAACTAGAACAGAACTAGAACAGAACTAGAACAGAACTAGAACAGAACTAGAACAGAACTAGAACAGAACTAGAACTAGAACAGAACTAGAACAGAACTAGAACAAACTAGAACAGAACTAGAACAGAACTAGAACAGAACTAGAACTGAACTAGAACAGAACTAGAACAGAACTAGAACAGAACTAGAACAGAACTAGAACAGAACTAGAACAGAACTAGAACAGAACTAGAACAGAACTAGAACAGAACAAGAACAGAACTAGAACAGAACTAGAACAGAACTAGAACAGAACTAGAACTGAACTAGAACTGAACTAGAACAGAACTAGAACAGAACTAGAACAGAACTAGAACAGAACTAGAACAGAACTAGAACAGAACTAGAACAGAACTAGAACAGAACTAGAACAGAACTAGAACAGAACTAGAACAGAACTAGAACAGAACTAGAACAGAACTAGAACAGAACTAGAACAGAACTAGAACAGAACTAGAACTAGAACAGAACAAGAACAGAACTAGAACAGAACTAGAACAGAACTAGAACAGAACTAGAACAGAACTAGAACAGAACTAGAACAGAACTAGAACAGAACTAGAACAGAACTAGAACAGAACTAGAACAGAACTAGAACAGAACTAGAACAGAACTAGAACAGAACTAGAACAGAACTAGAACAGATCTAGAACAGAACTAGAACTGAACTAGAACTGATCTAGTCTAACAGTGCGGAACTGATCTAGCAGTGTTTTGAAATTGATCTGATAGTGTTCCTGAACTGATCTATAATTGTTCTAAAGCTCTTCCAGAAAAGATTTAGCACTAAAAAGAAAATGTTCTAAAGCTAAAGTGAGTCTAATTGAATGAAATATAAGAATTTTTTTTGGAATTTGGAATACATTTTTATTTCAATTTAGGAAATTATTTATTTCAACTGACAAGCAACACACTTTCTAACGGATTTGACATTTAAATATAAAAACAAAACACTAAATTTTCTCTTACTCACAAAGATAAGAGCGAAGGAGAGCAAGGGACAAGTAATAAGTTTTACATTGCATTAAACGTTATTGGTTTTAGTTTAAAAACACAGGGTTGCTAATAGGGAGAAAAGGCAGCAATGTAAATAAATGCATTCTTTTTGTTTCTGTTTATTAATTGTTTTAATTGGATTTAAAGAAAATGCTACTTTTGCTAAAAAAAATTTAACTAATACTGTATATTTAAAGGTTTTTAACTAAAAAATTTTTTAAATTAGTTGTTTAGGGAATTTTAAAATGATATTTTTTTATGAAAATGAAACTAATTAAACGACATTAACACACAATATAATTAAAAGGACAAAAAACAAACATATAAATTTTAAATGGATTTTTTTTTAAATTGTTTTTTTTTGGAAAAACTACTATAAAAATCCTGGTGCTAGTTAAGTAGTTATTAATTAATTATATAAAAAACAACTAATTTCTACGCGTGTAAATGGCTAAAAATATAAAATACAATAATTTAAAGAAAAAAATTTAAATAAATAACTAAATAATTGTTGTTGTTTTTTTTTTTTTGCAAAATTACTAAGACAATTTGTTTAAATATGTAAAAAGTAAATAAAAAAAATTTATATAAAAAAATTATAATTTAAACACACCTGTACAGATATAGAGAACCATGCAAGGTATATCATTTATGCTGTGACCTCCTTTACGATTTTTTTATAAAAAAAATTAAATTTTTTTTTTGTTGTGATGAAAAAAATTTATGATTTAGTGGTTAAAATGATGTTGTAAAGAGAAAAATGTAATAGTTTGTTTTTGTGTTTTTTTTTTTTTTTTGTAAACAAAATAATACATAACAAAAAATTATTATTATTTTTTTTGGAAAGAACCATTTTTTTTTGTTTTGTTTAAAAAGAACAGGAGAAAAAATATATAAAAAAAGAAGAAAAGCAGAAAAATTATTTTAGTTAAAAAAAAATTATTTATAAAATATATATAAAAAATGCATTAAAAAATTATATATAAAGAAATTTAAACTTTTTTTTGAAACTGATTTAACTTATTGTTAACAAAAGAATGTTATAAAACAAAGTTATGAGTTAAAGTATTTACAACAATTTGTTTTAATAAAATTAATGAAATTTTTTACAGTGTATTTAGTTTTGGTGGGTTAAAGTGCGTAATTATTTACTTACAGTAATATACAAAATTAATTTTAACTAAATTATAAACAAAAAACTAAAAAAAATTACAAAACATTTAAATATTTAAATAAAAACAAATTAAAAATTTTAACCTATAAAAAAGCAAAGTGTAAATCAGTGCTGAACTAATGCTGCTTCCTATGGAATATAACTAAGGCTGATCTGTAACATAACTAAATTAGATCAAGAATTGCTTAAGACCTAATCCACAAAATAACTGGAACTGAGCCAGAACTGATCTAGAATTGAAGCTCATCTGATTGGGGAATGCTTTAGATGAAATAGAACTGATCGAGGGTTGATAAAAGTGATCTATAACTGATCTAAAGCTGAATTAAAGCTTAATTGGAACTGATATGGAACAGAATTAGAAAATAACTAGAAGAGAGCTAGGACAGAACTAGAACAGAACTAGAATTAAAACAGAACTAAAACAGAACTAGAACAGAACTAGAACAGAACTAGAACAGAACTAGAACAGAACTAGAACAGAACTAGAACAGAACTAGAACAGAACTAGAACAGAACTAGAACAGAACTAGAACAGAACTAGAACAGAACTAGAACAGAACTAGAACAGAACTAGAACAGAACTAGAACAGAACTAGAACAGAACTAGAACAGAACTAGAACAGAACTAGAACAGAACTAGAACAGAACTAGAACAGAACTAGAACAGAACTAGAACAGAACTAGAACAGAACTAGAACAGAACTAGAACAGAACTAGAACAGAACTAGAACAGAACTAGAACAGAACTAGAACAGAACTAGAACAGAACTAGAACAGAACTAGAACAGAACTAGAACAGAACTAGAACAGAACTAGAACAGAACTAGAACAGAACTAGAACAGAACTAGAACAGGACTAGAACAGAACTAGAACAGGACTAGAACAGAACTAGAACAGAACTAGAACAGAACTAGAACAGAACTAGAACAGAACTAGAACAGAACTAGAACAGAACTAGAACAGAACTAGAACAGAACTAGAACAGAACTAGAACAGAACTAGAACAGAACTAGAACAGAACTAGAACAGAACTAGAACAGAACTAGAACAGAACTAGAACAGAACTAGAACAAAACTAGAACAAAACTAGAACAAAACTAGAACAGAACTAGAACAGAACTAGAACAGAACTAGAACAGAACTAGAACAGAACTAGAACAGAACTAGAACAGAACTAGAACAGAACTAGAACAGAACTAGAACAGAACTAGAACAGAACTAGAACTAAACTAAAACTAAACTAGAACTAAACTAGAACTAAACTAAAACTAAACTAGAACTAAATTAGAATTAAACTTGAACAGAACTAGAACAGAACTAAAACAGAACTTGAACAGAACTAGAACAGAACTAGAACAGAACTAGAACAGAACTAGAACAGAACTAGAACAGAACTAGAACAGAACTAGAACAGAACTAGAACAGAACTAGAACAGAACTAGAACAGAACTAGAACAGAACTAGAACAGAACTAGAACAGAACGAGAACAGAACTAGAACAGAACTAGAACAGAACGAGAACAGAACTAGAACAGAACTAGAACAGAACTAGAACAGAACTAGAACAGAACTGGAACAGAACTAGAACAGAACTAGAACAGAACTAGAACAGTACTAGAACAGAACTAGAACAGAACTAGATCAGAACTGGAACAGAACTAGAACAGAACTAGAACAGAACTAGATCAGAACTAGATCAGAACTAGATCAGAACTTGAACAGAACTAGAACTGAACTAGAATTAAACTAGAATTAAACTTGAACTAAACTAGAGCTTAACTAGAATTGAACTAGAACTGAACTAGAACAGAACTCGAACAGAACTAGAACAGAACTAGAGCAGAACTAGAACAGAACTAGAACTGTACTAGAACCTAATAGAACTTTGTCAGTTTCTCGGGCGGGAAACTTTTACATCGAATGGATCGAAGTCATTTCTAAAAGACTTAGGTTTATGGTTCCTGGCGAGAATTAGAGAATTTCCCAAAATCTGAAATATAAATAATGAAATTTTCGAAGCAGATATATCACATGAAGAACGATCTTTTTAAAATTTATAAGAAAACTTAATTCAATGAATAGAATAAGCTGAAAGGGATGAGACAAATTTATGAGAGCTTTTCTATGATTTAAAGAATTTAATCTTTTAAGATCCTGTTATGATGAACAATTTATGAGAAGCAAAAGAAATAAAGCATGAAAACTTGCCGAAAGAAAGAAAATGAATAGAAAGAGTTAAAGTTAAAAAAGCAAAACTAGAAGAAGAAAGCTTTTGAATAAAGAAGGAAAGTTTTAAAAATGAATACTCAAAGCTAAAAGGCTTGGAGCAAATGAAATAGAGAAAGGAAAAGAGATAGAGAGTAAAATGAAACAACGCTGGGACTTCAATTTATAATTTCTTTAAGGTGGAACAGCAAAAAAATTAAAAAATAAATAAATGAAAAAAAGGACAAGAAACAAAAAATTATATATAAAAACAAAAAACAATTAAATTATTTTATATTAAAGGACAAACGAATATAATTTTAAGAAAAAAAAAAAAACTCCACAACCAAGATTTTGAAATAACATATTATTTTCAAAAAAGGCTAACTCTGACAACCATCACCATTTTGGAATTATGTTTTTTTTTTACAAATAAAAAAATAAAAACGTGGTTATTTTTGTTTGGTTTATATAAAAATTGTTAATAAATCAAATGTATTTATTAATATTAAAATTTTAATGGATTTAGGTAATTATTAAAATTTTAAATTTACACTTAAATGTTAAGAAAAAAATTCAATGGCAGCCATTTTTGTTTGGTATTTAAGGTTATAACAAAGAAATTTATACATTTTTATACATTTAAAAACAAAAAAAATATATTATTATTTAAGGACTGTTAAAAGTTAAAAGTTTTACTTAAAATTATAGAAAAAAATGTAAAATTATTGGGCATGCATTATGTTTGATAAAAAAATTATTTTGAAAATAATAAAAAAAATTTTATACCCGCCACCGTTTGTTTTTTTTTTTCAAATTATATATTAAAATTTTTATACAAAAATAAAAAAACTATACAACAAAATGTGTTAATTTACAATAAAAAGTTTGTTTGTTGGTTTTTTTTTAAAAGGTGGTGTTAAACTATTTACAAGTTTTAATAACGGATGTTTTTGTTTAAGTTTATATAGTTTTATGTATAAATGTTTATATTTAAATAGTTTTATATATAATTCTTTTACAAAATTAAAAAAAAAAAATTAATAAGTAAAATCAGTGGTGGTTTATTTTTATGAAAGAAAAATAATTTGGAAATTTTTTTTCTGTTGTTGTTAAAAAACACATGCCAATTATTCTTATTATTGCTAAATTTTCCTTAAAGATTTGTTCTTGTTGTATTATGGTTTAAAAAAACAAAATTCGAATTCTTATTTTCGAAGTATGCTTTGCTTTCTTTCGATTTTGGTTTACTTTTTGTAACGTCTATTATATCTATTTCTTGAAATTCTGGCCATTTTATCTTGATACTCACGCTTGACATAGAGTTCAGCATAAGAGGGTTTAGATCTGACACCATTGGCTATGAGTTCACAGACATAACGACCCTCATCTTGTTTGTGCACATTGTAGATGAACAATTCATTGTTGTGGATTTGAGCATTGGGGGGCAAACGGTTGCCGTTTTCACGGGTCCAGGTGTACTGAAAATAGTGAAACGTAAAGAGACAGTTAAAAAGAGAGCTACAACAGAACTAGAACAGAACTAGAACAGAACTAGAACAGAACTAGAGTAGAACTAGAACAGAACTAGAACAGAACTAGAACAGAACTAGAAGAGAACTAGAACAGAACTAGAACAGAACTAGAACAGAACTAGAACAGAACTAGAACATAACTAGAACAGAACTAGAACAGAACTAGAACAGAACTAGAACAGAACTAGAATAGAACTAGAATAGAACTAGAATAGAACTAGAATAGAACTAGAATAGAACTAGAACATAACTAGAACAGAACTAGAACAGAACTAGAACAGAACAGAACAGAACTAGAACAGAACTAGAACAGAACTAGAACAGAACTAGAACAGAACTAGAACAGAACTAGAACAGAACTAGAACAGAACTAGAACAGAACTAGAACAGAACAGAACAGAACTAGAACAGAACTAGAACAGAACTAGAACAGAACTAGAACAGAATTAGAACCGAACTAGAACAGAACTAGAACAGAACTAGAACAGAACTAGAACAGAACTAGAACAGAACTAGAACAGAACTAAAACAGAACTAGAACAGAACTAGAATAGAACTAGAACAGAACTAGAACAGAACTAGAACAGAACTAGAACAGAACTAGAACAGAACTAGAACAGAACTAGAACAGAACTAGAACAGAACAGAACTAGAACAGAACTAGAACAGAACTAGAACAGAACTAGAACAGAACTAGAACAGAACTAGAACAGAACTAGAACAGAACTAGAACAGAACTAGAACAGAACTAGAACAGAATTAGAACCGAACTAGAACAGAACTAGAACAGAACTAGAACAGAACTAGAACAGAACTAGAACAGAACTAGAACAGAACTAGAACAGAACTAGAACAGAACTAGAACAGAACTAGAACAGAACTAGAACAGAACTAGAACAGAACTAGAACAGAACTAGAACAGAACTAGAACAGAACTAGAACTAGAACAGAACTAGAACAGAACTAGAACAGAACTAGAACAGAACTAGAACAGAACTAGAACAGAACTAGAACAGAACTAGAACAGAACTAGAACAGAACTAGAACAGAACTAGAACAGAACTAGAACAGATCTAGAACAGAACTAGAACAGAACTAGAACAGAACTAGAACAGAACTAGAACAGAACTAGAACAGAACTAGAACAGAACTAGAACAGAACTAGAACAGAACTAGAACAGAACTAGAACAGAACTAGAACAGAACTAGAACAGAACTAGAACAGAACTAGAACAGAACTAGAACAGAACTAGAACAGAACTAGAACAGAACTAGAACAGAACTAGAACAGAACTAGAACAGAACTAGAACATAACTAGAATAGAACTAGAATAGAACTAGAACAGAACTAGAATAGAACAGAACCAGAATAGAACAGAACTAGAATAGAACACAACTAGAACAGAACTAAAACAGAACTAGAACAGAACTAGAACAGAACTAGAACAGAACTAGAATAGAACTAGAACAGAACTAGAATAGAACTAGAACAGAACTAGAATAGAACTAGAAGAGAACTAGAACAGAACTAGAACAGAACTAGAACAGAACTAGAACAGAACTAGAACAGAACTAGAACATAACTAGAACAGAACTAGAACAGAACTAGAACAGAACTAGAACAGAACTAGAACAGAACTAGAACAGAACTAGAACAGAACTAGAACAGAACTAGAACAGAACTAGAACAGAACTAGAACATAACTAGAATAGAACTAGAATAGAACTAGAACAGAACTAGAATAGAACAGAACCAGAATAGAACAGAACTAGAATAGAACACAACTAGAACAGAACTAAAACAGAACTAGAACAGAACTAGAACAGAACTAGAACAGAACTAGAATAGAACTAGAACAGAACTAGAACAGAACTAGAACAGAACAGAACTAGAACAGAACTAGAACAGAACTAGAACAGAACTAGAATAGAACAGAACTAGAATAGAACAGAACTAGAACAGAACTAAAACAGAACTAGAACAGAACTAGAATAGAACTAGAACAGAACTAGAACAGAACTAGAATAGAACTAGAACAGAACTAGAACAGAACTAGAACAGAACTAGAACAGAACTAGAACAGAACTAGAACAGATCTAGAACAGAACTAGAACAGAACTAGAACAGAACTAGAACAGAACTAGAACAGAACTAGAACAGAACTAGAACAGAATTAGAACCGAACTAGAACAGAACTAGAACAGAACTAGAACAGAACTAGAACAGAACTAGAACAGAACTAGAACAGAACTAGAACAGAACTAGAACAGAACTAGAACAGAACTAGAACAGAACTAGAACAGAACTAGAACAGAACTAGAACAGAACTAGAACAGAACTAGAACAGAACTAGAACAGAACTAGAACAGACAGAACTAGAACAGAACTAGAACAGAACTAGAACAGAACTAGAACAGAACTAGAACAGAACTAGAACAGAACTAGAACAGAACTAGAACAGAACTAGAACAGAACTAGAACAGAACTAGAACAGAACTAGAAACAGAACTAGAACACAGCTAGAACACAACTAGAACACAACTAGAAACAGAACTAGAACTGAACTAGAACTGAACTAGAACTGAACTAGAACAGAACTAGAACAGAACTAGAACAGAACTAGAACAGAACTAGAACAGAACTAGAACAGAACTAGAACAGAACTAGAGCAGAACTAGAACAGAACTAGAACAGAACTAGAACAGAACTAGAACAGAACTAGAACAGAACTAGAACAGAACTAGAACAGAACTAGAACAGAACTAGAACAGAACTAGAACAGAACTAGAACAGAACTAGAACAGAACTAGAACAGAACTAGAACAGAACTAGAACAGAACTAGAACAGAACAGAACTAGAACAGAACTAGAACAGAACTAGAACAGAACTAGAACAGAACTAGAACAGAACTAGAACAGAACTAGAACAGAACTAGAACAGAACTAGAACTAGAACAGAACTAGAACAGAACTAGAACAGAACTAGAACAGAACTAGAACAGAACTAGAACAGAACTAGAACAGAACTAGAACAGAACTAGAACAGAACTAGAACAGAACTAGAACAGAACTAGAACAGAACAGAACTAGAACAGAACTAGAACAGAACTAGAACAGAACTAGAACAGAACTAGAACAGAACTAGAACAGAACTAGAACAGAACTAGAACAGAACAGAACTAGAACAGAACTAGAACAGAACTAGAACAGAACTAGAACAGAACTAGAACAGAACTAGAACAGAACTAGAACAGAACTAGAACAGAACTAGAACAGAACTAGAACAGAACTAGAACAGAACTAGAACAGAACTAGAACAGAACTAGAACAGAACTAGAACAACACTAGAACAGAACTAGAACAGAACTAGAACAGAACTAGAAAAGAACTAGAACAGAACTAGAACAGAACTAGAACAGAACTAGAACAGAACTAGAACAGAACTAGAACAGAACTAGAACAGAACTAGAACAGAACTAGAACAGAACTAGAACAGAACTAGAACAGAACTAGAACAGAACTAGAACAGAACTAGAACAGAACTAGAACAGAACTAGAACAGAACTGAAATTAGAACAGAATTAGTCAATATCTGAAAAAGAAATCTTTCCAAAAATACTTACAAATACATCACCACGAATGGGAGCATATGATTCAACGTCGCAGGAAATGCGTACAGTTTCACCTTCATTCAATTCGTAGCTCTTGGCTTGAGGACGGGTTTCATAGCTAGTACCACGATTAACAATAACTTCAGCCATTTCGGTAGTATTACCATAGCTATTCTTGGCAGAGCAGTAGTAACGACCGGCAGCGGCAGGGGTAATGGCAGTAAAACGTAAATATTTGCCCTCAATACTAACAGAACTATAGAAAGGAAAAGTAAAGCAAAAATTAAAACGCATTTTAAAACAATAAAGAAGTTGCGCCAAAAAACTTACGCAGGCAAAGGTCTATTGTTGTCGGTATGCCAGGACACTACAATGGGTTGAGCACCCTCGGTATCACAAGAAATATCAATATTATCATTGGCATTCACATGTAGGGGCATTCTGGGATTTAGGGTAATATGAGGAATGGGTATGTACACTAATTCGGCCAAGTGATAGGTAATGATCTCGCCACGAGTGTCATAGGCATTACATCTGTAAATACCAGCATTGTTCTCTTGCATGTGATGGATAATCAAGCTGTTGCGTTCGAAGTAGGAATTGGTAGGCAAGGGGCGACCATCTTCACGTTCCCATATAGTCTCATGGGCGGCATCTGATTAAAGGAAATATTTAGTAAAAAGTACGGGGATTTTATAAGGAAAACAAAACTTACTTAAGTCACATCTCAAGGTGACATTATCGCCAGGCTTGGATTGATAAACATTTTCAACTTGAGGCTGTGGAGTAGCTGGACGATAGCCGGGATAGGAGGGTTGTGGAGGATATGAAGGACGAGCGCCTTGTCTGTCATAGGGATAAGGTGAACGATCAACATCACTATCTTCAGGAGCATCACCGCGTCTAGGCTTGACATCCAAAACAATATAACGTTCATCAGTACCGGCTTCATTGGTGGCCACACATTTATAGGCCTTGCCATTTTGCATGGATACACGATAGAATTCCAAGAAAGCTTGATTGTAATGTTCAGCTTCTGGAGCATAATTAAAGGTAGCAACCGAGCTGTCTTCTACCCAACGTACACTGGGATTGGGATGACCAGTAGCGGTACAGGTAACCTTAACTTCATCACCTTCGGTAACAGTTAGAACTTCTTGGCTAGGTTCCAGCTGAATAACAGGAGCTTCAATAACACGTATGTTGGCAACAGCGGTAGCATTGCCAACTTCATTTTCGGCCACACACTTATAGTCACCAGCATCCACCAGCATAACATCATTGATACTAGAAAAAAACATAAAAGTCTAGAAAGGATTTTATTTCTAAAAATAAATGAAACCTACATAATATAACCGGGTTCATTTTGTTGAATTTGATGTCTGGGCGATAGGGGTTGGCCATTGACACGTAACCATTGTACTCTAGGTTGTGGTATACCGGTGGCCGAGCAATACAATATACCCTGGCCGCCAACAGTTATAATTTGTGGTTCTTTAGGATCAATATCAACGACGGGATGTTCACGAGCTGCAATCAATGATATAATGATGGTTGTACATATTAGTAGTAAAACTAGTAAATTGTTGGGAACGTTCTTATTACCGACTCCTTTTTTGTAAACTTTGTTTTTATAAAATTTATTTCAAGTTTTTTAAAAGTTAAATTTAAGTTAAAAATACAAGCAAAAAAGAAGTAATTTAAAAAGAAATTGAAAGATAAAAGTAGTTGTGGTTAACTGGTTCCAAATTCCCATTTTTAAGTAACTATTAATATAAGCATTATAAGAAAAACTTACGTTCAATATCAATGAAAGTGCTGGTCTGATCGCTACCGGCCTCATTTTCAACAATACACAAGTAAATGCCACGGTTATCGGGACGAGCATTCATAATGCGCAAAACATTACCCGATTGATGGACATTATCGCCTAAGGATTCATGGACCTTGGTCCATCTAATAGTGGGATAGGGTGTGCCGGAAGCTTCACAAGTAATAGTGAAATCATGGCCCTGGATAACGCGATTTTCTTCGGGTAAACGTTGTACAGTGGGAGCGATGCTGTGGGGACAAACAAGAATTAAATGAAATTTCCTGTTTTTAACTCCCCCCAGAAACAAACTTACCTATTCGATGAAGGAATTATAACATTAGGTCTAGTCTCTTCAATATGAACTTGAGCATCGGAGGTATAATTACGTTGTCCTCTATGATCGATACCAATGCATGTGTAAACACCCGAATCACGTGGTGTAGTCTCACGAATCTCCAACATATTGCCATTGATAATCAAATTGTGTTGACGATACAAAGGATAGCCATCCTTGGTCCATTCGTATTTCAAGATAACCGGTGTGGTAGGTTGACAGGTCAAGCGTACATATTGTCCACTTTCACCAGAGAAGGATGGTGGTTCAATATATACTAATTCACGTGGTGCTGGTGTGGGTTGTGGTGTCGAGGGTCTTATGCGTATTTGAGTGTATTTCTCCTCATAGCCGACACCATTGTTGGCCTGACATCTGTAGCTACCCTCATCGGATTTGCGTGGCATTTCGAAAATCAAGCGGCTGCCATCGACACGAGCTTCACTGGACATTTGACCATCGACACGTGTCCAGATGACACTGGGAGCGGGATTACCGCTTACTTCGCAATTAACTTCGCTGGGTACATACTCTTCGAAGGTGAAGTAGGATGGGAGATTGTCAATCTTGGCTGGAGTGCGACGAGAGCTTTCTGCAGGTGGCAGAAGAGATAGAAATTAGGAGAGTTTGAAATTTTTGATTTGAAATAGTGTATTGCTAAGAATAGTCTAAACTATTGAGTACAGTCCAGACTATCTATATAGAGATAAGCTATCTATACTCCAGACTATAGACAGCCTATTGACTGGCTATAGTCTACACTATAGACAGTTTAGTCCAGACTATGGACAAGATATCATCCAGACTATGGACGGGATATCGTCCAGACTATAGACAAGCTATGGTTCCGACTATAGACATGCTATAGTCCAGACTATAGACATGATACAGTCCAGACTATATACAGGCTATATTTCAGACTATAGAGCTCATATAACCTAGACTATAGAGAGCTTGTAGTCCAAAATATAGAGAACCTAATGTCAACACTATAGATAGGCTATATTTCAGACCACAGAGAGTCGATAGTCCACAATATAGAGAGCGTACATTTTAGACTGTAGAGTGCTTATAGTCCAGACTATAGAGAGCTTATAGTCCAGACTATAGACAGCCTATAGTCCAGACTATAGACAGCCTATAGTCCAGACTATAGACAGCCTATAGTCCAGACTATAGACAGCCTATAGTCCAGACTATAGACAGCCTATAGTCCAACTAGAAGCCTATAGTCCAGACTATAGACAGCCTATAGTCCAGACTATAGACAGCCTATAGTCCAGACTATAGACAGCCTATAGTCCAGACTATAGACAGCCTATAGTCCAGACTATAGACAGCCTATAGTCCAGACTATAGACAGCCTATAGTCCAGACTATAGACAGCCTATAGTCCAGACTATAGACAGCCTATAGTCCAGACTATAGACAGCCTATAGTCCAGACTATAGACAGCCTATAGTCCAGACTATAGACAGCCTATAGTCCAGACTATAGACAGCCTATAGTCCAGACTATAGACAGCCTATAGTCCAGACTATAGACAGCCTATAGTCCAGACTATAGACAGCCTATAGTCCAGACTATAGACAGCCTATAGTCCAGACTATAGACAGCCTATAGTCCAGAACTATAGACAAGCCTATAGTCCAGATATAGACAGCCTATAGTCCAGACTATAGATAGCCTATAGTCCAGACTACAGACAGCCTATAGTCCACACTATAGACAGCCTATAGTCCACACTATAGACAAATTATAGTCCAGACTATAGATAACCTATAGTCCAGACTATAGACCAGAATATAGACAGCCTTTAGTCCAGACTATAGACAGCCTATAGTCCAGACTATAGATAGCCTATAGTCCAGACTATAGATAGCCTATAGTCCAGATTATAGACAGCCTATAGTCCAGATTATAGACAGCCTATAGTCCAGACTATAGACAGCCTATAGTCCAGACTATAGACAGCCTATAGTCCAGACTATAGACAGCCTATAGTCCAGAATATAGACAGCCTATAGTCCAGACTATAGACAGCCTATAGTCCAGAACTATAGACAGCCTATAGTCCAGACTATAGACAGCCTATAGTCCAGACTATAGACAGCCTATAGTCCAGTCCAGACTATAGACAGCCTATAGTCCAGACTATAGACAGCCTATAGTCCAGACTATAGACGGCCTGTAGTCCAGAATATAGACAGCCTGTAGTCCATTGTATAGTCAGGCTTTGGTCCAAACTTGATAATGGTCAAAACTTGTCCTTCTTGTTAAACAAAAGTATCAAGATTTTTATGTTTTTACTTAAATCCTACCATATTTTGCCAACATTTCTTTGGCATATCCTTTATTTTTCGAAGGAAAGGCAGCATTTAAAAAATTATATAGTTTTTAGGAACTGTTAGTCTAAATTATTAGATCATTGGAACTTACCAGTAATAGTAATGGTAATCTTATCTTCGAAAACACGTCTAGTTTCGTTGTTAGTAGCGCGACAAATGTAAACTCCAGAGTCATGGATTTGCAAATCATACAGTCTCAAGACTCCATTGTTTTGTTCAACACCATAGGGCATATGATCATTCAACTTATACCAGCTAACAATAACGGGGCTCTGAAGTCAAGAGAAAAAGAAAACCAATTAATTTTTTGGAAAATTGGTAATAAATTGCATTTTCAATACTTACATTATTCCAAACTAAATGACCACTGCAAGAGAGTGTAATCGAACCACCTACGGGAATGATGGAAATTTCGGGTGGTGCAATGGAAACGGTAATTTGAGTTCTAATATCTGTATCGGGAGCAGGAGGACGTGGTGTAGGTGTTTCAGTACCATAGTCTTCTACACGCAGAGAAATATAAGTTTAAATATTAATAAGGTTACTTAGTAGACAGGTTAACAAATATTTTAGACATTAACTAAAGGTTAGTGACAATGAGTTTTTGAGGTTTTTTTTTGAAACAAAGAATATTTTTTTTTGCTAAAACTACTAACAAAAAACTACCAATATTTTATAAAAGTTTTTTTTTTTATTTTTAAATTTATACACAAAAAATTTTGTTAGTAAAATGTATTTGTTGTAAGATTTTTTGGGGGGGGAAATTTTGAATTTATACAAAAAAAAATTTTTGTTGTAAAAAGGAGTTAAATAATTGTTGTTGTAACTAATTGTATAGAAATTAGCTTAAAAACTGAGTAGGCACACAGAACATAGATTTAGATAAAAATTTGTTTTGTTAAACTATTTTAAATTTTTGTTTAAAAACCCAAAATCTAGTTAAAATTTTTTTTTTACACAAGTGGTTGGTTTACTTTTTTAGATAAGTTTTGCTAAAACACAGATTTGTTTTTGTTGTTTGGTAAAACTAAAATTATTTTACAGAAAAAAATATATATTTTCTTAAAATCTTAAGGACAGACATTAAAAACAAGAGGATTTTTATAATTCTTTCTGGTAAAAAGAAAGAAAAAATTAAACAAAAAACTACTTTGGAAATTTTTATTTGTTTTTAAAAAGTTTAGATTTCACTACCAATTTACAAACACAACATAGTTTTGTAGTAGTAGTAGTAGTAGTTTAATAAAAAGTTTTTGTTTTTTATTAAATATATTAGAAAATAATTAAAAAAAAAATTCAAACCCACAGGTTAAACATTTTTGAAACTAAACTAAATTTTATTTTGTAATGTAAATACCACAAAAATTGTGTGTTTAATTTAAACGCATCGAACCTCTGATATTACAGCCATAACGTAATTTGGTTAAATTTCCTATGTACTGGCGACCCCGATATATAAGCAAGGTTTCATTATAGGAGATGCTTTGATTGGGTTCTATATTAAATTGAAAACCACTACAACAGAATCCTCGGGGTATATCGCATATCATTTCAGTGGTCACTAGGGTTTTATATTGTTTTTGTTTTTTTTTTTAGATTTCAATATAATTACATGTGAAGAGATTGGAAAAAAATAGAAATATTTTGTTTAAATATAATTTTTTTTTTCAGTTTAACAGTTTTACAACGATTCGAAAGGATTTATTTGCCTTAATTAAAAAAAAGTGTTTCGAATTTCCTAAATTTTAAAATTTAAATTTTGAAATTTCTAACCTTGCAATAGTGAAAATTAAAGTGTGTAAATTTTTGAGCCAAAGTTTAAAAATAAATTTAATTTTGAAAGTGTTAAAATTAAGTTCCTGAAATTGTGAATAAAAATATTTGATTAAACATTATTTTTAAAAGACCCCAGTAAAATGAAATAAAGAGAAAAAAGTAACTATAATTAAAAAAAAACTCTGTCAAATTGACTATAGGCTGACTAGCCTATTGACCAGACTATAGCTAGTCTACAGTTCAGATTATAGTCACCCTATAGACCAGGCAATAGCGAGCTTATAGTCCGCACTATAGCTATCCTATAGTAACGACTATAAACTGCCAATTTCCTAGACTGTGGGCAGCTAGTAATCCAGACAATAGTCAGCTTATAGTCAACTTAACGTCTAGTCTATAGTCCAGGTTATAGTCAGCCTATAGTCCAGGCTATAGTCAGCCTGTAGTCCTGACTTTGTTCAGCCTATAATCCAAGTTATAGTCAGCCTATAATCCAGGCTATAGTCAGTTTGTAGTTCTGACTATGTTCAGTCTACAGTAAAGGTTATAGTCAGCATATAGCCTACACTATAATTTGCCAAAACTCCAGAGTATAGTCAACCTATAGTCCTAACTCTAGCCAGTCTACAGTACATACAATAGTCAACTTATAATCAGACCCCCAGTAAAATGAAATAAAGAAAAAAAGTAACTATAATTAAAAAAAACTCTGTCAAATTGACTATAGGCTGACTAGCCTATTGGCCAGACTATAGCTAGTCTACAGTCCAGATTATAGTCACCCTATAGACCAGGCAATAGCAAGCTTAAAGTCCGCACTATAGCTATCCTATAGTCACGACTATAAACTGCCAATTTCCTAGACTGTGGGCAGCTAGTAATCCAGACAATAGTCAGCTTATAGTTAACTTAAAGTCTAGTCTATAGTCCAGGTTAGTCAGCCTATAATCCAGGCTATAGTCCTGACTATGTTCAGCCTATAGTAAAGGTTAAAGTCAGCATATAGCCTACACTATAGTTTGCCAAAACTCCAGAGTATACTCAACCTATAGTCCTAACTCCTGCCAAAACTCCAGAGTATAGTCAACCTATAGTCCTAACTTTAGCCAGTCTACAGTACATACAATAGTCAACTTATAGTCAGCCTAAAGTCCAGAATTTAGTTGGTCTATAGGCCACACTATAGTTTGTCTATATTCTAAACTATAGTCAGTCTACAGTCCAGACTATATTCAGCATATAGTCCAGAATATGTTTAGCCTATAGTCTAGACTATAGTCAGCCAATAATCCAGACTATATTCAACCTATAGTCCAGACTATAGTCAGCCTAGGCTAATTCTATTAATCTTCAAAATTTGTTCTTAAACTTTCCTCATATAAAACCCTTTCGAACCATCTAGTTTTTTGTTTTATAAATTGCTTTAACAATTTCCTCAAAAGTTTCCCTGTCTTAACTTAAACTTCCCGGCCAATCAATGAAAATGAAAACAAAGCATGCTCTTCTCTTTCTTTCTCTCTCTCTATCAAGCAAAATTTACACTAAATCAAAAATGAAACATGCCAAAAAATAAATTTCTGATTATTTTCATAACACACTTTCATCCGTGCGCTCTTATCCTTTAAACTTACCAGGATTTTGACAACGATCACCGGCATAACCAGATTTACACTGACACCTAACATAGCCACGTTCATCCAAACTGCAAGAGTTGGTCGATTCATCTTGGCAGGGGCAGAGAGTACAGTCACCATTATTATCGCGATAATACATGGGAGCACAGCTTTCGCAAGAAGTGCCCGAATAGCCAGCTGGACAAGTGCATACTTCAATTTCGGAAGCAGGTTGGGCATCGGGGAAAGGTGTTTCGACAGCACTTTCTAACATAACATCGCTGATGGCGGTGCGTGTTGTGGGTATCTTGGGTGTGGCTCTAATCAAAATATGCTCCAAATTGGACAAAACATTCATGAAGTCCAAGCGTGAGGCACGTTGCATGACACCACGTTGTAGGGACTTCCAGTTTTCATCTTCGTGCAGACGTATTTTGTATTCAACATTTTCCTGTTCGGAACTAGGGCGAGACCACAACAATTTCTGGCCGTTACCAATGAGAATGACATCATTGCCGGGCTCATAGTGACCATAGCTTTGGACGTTCAATTGGTAGGAGAGAACACCACCGTAAGAGTACAATTGATTGCCTAAAACGGAACCTCTAAGACTCCAGAATTTGGGTGTGTAGGAAGTAAAGCTGTAGGTATATTCGTTTCTTTCGATATCGAAGTTCAAGTTCTCGGTATCAGCAATAAGGCCCTCTTCATCGGTGAAGAGTGGAGGACTGCTGAGGAAATCGACGGGAATGAATTGGCGGAACAAAGAAGCCGAACGGCAAGTGGAGGATTTTTGAGAGCAATAACATTCATCACAGCCTTCGGGATTGCTGGCGGAAAGACCATAAGTTCCAGAGCGGCATTGGTCACAATAGGTACCCTGAACATTGGGTTTACAATAACAATAGCCATTGTCACAAGACTCAGTACCAGCGGCATTACAATGCGAGCAGGTTTGGTTTCTGAGTGGTGGAGGTCTGGTATAGGCAGTGGAATCATCAACGCCGGGTTGACAGTCGTGGGGAGTACCTTGGGTAGCATCACCGCTATAGCCGTAAGCACAACGTTCACAGAATTCACCTTCGGTATTGTCGGCACAGTTAAGGCAGGCACCGGTTTCGCTGTCACATTGGCTAGAGTGGCCATTGCATTCACAGGGTTCACAGAGACCCAAGTAGAGACCAGCTTCGGGGTTGCGTTTGTAGCCAGGAGCACAACGTTCACAGGACAGACCAATATAACCCTCAGGACAGCGGCATTCTTCCACCTCCACAGCACGAGCAGTGCCCAAGTTAGTGGGTGTGGCAATATCCATAACAACTTGGGTTAGAGAACCATCCTTGGTACTGGTGGTGTAGGTAGCCTTGATGTAGATGGCCTCAATCTTGGAAAGAGCCATTAACAAATGTTGTCTATTGACCGGTTGACCATCCGAACGGTACCAGGCACTTTCAATAATGGGCACGGAATAAGAGTTGGAGGAGCTAGGGCTAATGTTGCTTCTGCGGTGATGGATAATGGTTAAATCTTCACCAGACTTAATGACCACATCGGGAGAAGTGCTGCGTGACATGAGACCACCTGGCATGGCAGTGTAGCTCAAGGTATAATTCAATTTACCACCATAGGCAGTGATCTTGTTGCCCAAGAATTGGGCGGGCAATTGCCAGTACAAAGTTTCCGAGGTTCTGGGTTCTGAGAAAGTCAAGAAGTTGCCGGATTGAATGAATCTAACACTGGTGGGCTTATCGGTATTGTAGTTGGTGACCAAACCAAAGCCATGAGGAGCACTGGAGCGGCCAAATGAGGAAGAGATTTGATCACGGTACCAGGAACTGCTGCCACAGCTAGTGGGCAAGCCACTGCAGAAGCACTCAATGCAACCGGTGTAGGTGAAGGCATTCAGGTGGAAGGAGTCAGCCTTGCAGCTATCACAACGTGGGCCAGTGACCAAAGGTTTGCAGGTACAGCTGCCATCGGCATTAACAGAGTAGGTGCCTTCAGCATTGCAGGTACTTTCGGGTATGGGATAGCAGCGACCATCAGGAGTCAAAGGATGACCAGAATAGCCAGGAGCACAGGATTCACAACGTCTGCCGGTATAGCCTTCATTACAGTTGCAGGTAACCTCATTGTCGGGACCCAAAGAGCAGCCAGAAGCAAAGTTCTTCGAACCAGTTTGAGGGCAGGGACATTCACGGCAGGGTATGCCACGGCGAGGATCACCATAAGTGCCTGGCTGGCAGGGTTCGGGAGTATAAGGTACACAACGACCCAACCAGGGTCCGCCAGCTTGTCTAACAAAGCCAGGAGCACAAGTTTCGCAAGAATCACCCACATAACCGGTAGGACAAGAGCACTTTTCAATCAGGGAAGCCTGACCCAAGCCTTGATCATGATCACCAGCCGAGTTCATTAAGATATTGGTCAATTCCACTTGTCTTTCGGTGGCATCAATATAGCTCAAACGTATCAATACATTATCTACATTAGCCAAGATCATCATGATTTCTTCACGAGTGGCCACACGACCATCGGGTTTCTTCCATTGACCAGGAGCAAATTGGATTTCCATATGATTGACCACATTGGGTTGAGGTTGCATGCGAGAACGGTAGGTAAGAGTGAAACCATTGCCGGTAACAATAACATCAGGAGTATTGGTTGGACGACCAGAACCCATAAAGCTGACATCGTATTTAATAAAACCACCATAAGATTTCAATTGATTGCCCATATAGTCCGATGGCAAGGCCAAGTAAGGAGCACTGCGGCTGCCATACAAAACATCTGTAGCACGGAATTGAACACCATGTCTCAAATTCATAATACCCGAGGTGGGAGCATCATTAATGACAATGCTGCTGTAGGGACTGAGTTCTACATCGACCACGCGATGAGAGGTGATTGGTGGCTGTATGGCATAGTTGAAAAGTTCGGCAGATTTGCAAGTCTTGGTAATGCCAAAGCAGAAACAGTTGATACATTCCTCAGGACGACGAGCCAACATATTGAAGAAGCCAGCAGGGCAGACACCGGGGCGAGAGGGAGCTTCGACGGTAACCAAAGTATCGGTAGCGAATTTACTGCCCTTAGTATTTATGATTTCACAAGAGTAGGCACCACTGTCACCCACCTGCATATCGGGACAATAGATCGAGCCGGTACCGCTGAAACTCTTGGTAACACACTTTTCGGGAACATGACCCCAATTCAAACGCCAGACAATAACGGGAGTGGGAGTACCAACACCAACACAAGTCAAATTCAAAGATTCACCCTGTTTCAAGATAGCAGTTGGTGGAGGATCACGGATCTTATCGGGGGCCACTAGAAATAGAAATAATGTTTAGTTAAGAAATAAACCGGAGGGAGGAAATGTTGATACTTACTGCAACCGATTTCATCAGAACCATCGCGACAATCATTGGTATCGTCACACTGGAAGGATTTGGGAATACAGTGACCACTGCGACATTGGAATTCATCATAACGGCAAGGAGCTCCAGATGGTTCGGGATCACAACTTTCTTCATCGGAATTATCACCACAATCATCTTCACCATCACAACGCCACACACGATCCACACACTTAGAGTTACGGCATCTAAATTGATTGGGATGACATTTACGACCATGCGAACAGCTATGTTCATCGGAACCATCCGAACAGTGGGGAATACCATCACAAATTTGCGATTTATCAATACATTCACCATTCAAGCAGGTGGCTTGAGTATTGGAGCAGGCTGAGGGCAAACGATCATCACGAGGATTGACTAAACAAAGCGAAAAGAGAGCAATTAGTATCAAGGGCTTTCCTTAAGAGAGCTAACAAGGTTTTGGAGGTAAAATTCTACCAGGAATACTACTCTATTTACCATTTTATTGATCCATGTTTTTTTTATAAAAGTTAAGCATTTTCAAAAGGTGAATAAGAAAAGGAGTTTTTTTAATAATAGCTACTTTATCGGAGGATTTATCTATAGTTTATGGAAAATTTGATTTGAGAAAAAAATTACCTAAGCCAAAAAATTCCAAATCTATATGAGGCACAGTGCCATATTTGATTTTATTCGAAGGTATAACATATCTATTTGATCCCCAAGCTTTGACATGCAAAATTTAAATAAAGATTATATAACTCTCTCTTTATGTTAGCAAAACTCAAGACCCCAGATTCTTATACTTACATTTCTCTACGGTCAATTGTACGGAGACTTGTTGTCCAGCGACATGACGTGGATAACCCACAGCTTCACAAATATAAGTGCCAGAATCTTCAACACGAATATTGGGAATTTCCAAACGACCATCCTTATCACGAGCACCCACGGGCAAAGCACGGCCACCGGGTCTAGTCCATCTAACCTTGGCACGTAACATGCCTTCGTCACGACAACGGAAGATAACTTCACGGCCTGTTTTGTAAAAGAAAATTAAATATTAGTTCAAAATAATAAAAAGAGGTTTTGTGTATATGTATATATAGCAGGCATTTCTGGGTGGATTTGGTATATCGGTGTTGGTATTTACAGTTTTATATATATATGGTTTAACATTTTTGGGAATTTATCAAGTGCTTTATTTATATCACAGTGTTCGTAAGTGTTGAATAGCAGCCGAACATTCAATATTTATATATTCTTTATGAGAATCTGGGGAATTATCTCCTAGAACTGAATCACAACTGAACTAGAACAGAACTAGAACAGAACTAGAACTGAACTAGAACTGAAGTAGAACTGAAGTAGAACTGAACTAGAACTGAACTAGAACAGAACTAGAACAGAACTAGAACTGAACTAGAACTGAAGTAGAACTGAAGTAGAACTGAAGTAGAACTGAACTAGAACTGAACTAGAACTGTACTAGAACAGAACTAGAACTGATCTAGAACTGAACTAGAACTGATCTAGAACTTATCTAGAACTGATCTAGAACTCATATACATCCCTTATAATTTATGTTTGGGGATTTATTTTAAACCTTTTGGGAATTCTAAAATTCCTAGAAATTTTTTCTTTTAAGCAATTTTCGGGATTTTAGAAAAACTTACATTATTTAAAATGATTTGGAAAACATTAGGGAATTTTCTGAATATTTATGGAAATTTAAGGGATTTGGGAAACGTTTCAAATATTTCAATTATCCTGATTTTATACACTTGTATATATATATATATTTACAAAATCGTTTAGATATATAACCATATATTTTGAGGTGTTTTATATAGTACAGTTGCTTAACATTCGCTTCGGTGCTTTGGGTTCTTGAGTGTATTTTTCTTTAACTTGTTGTTCATTCTATTGTTTTTGTATATTTTTTTTTGTTTTAAATCAAGGATCACTTACCCTCCCTGATATATCCTGTTTGATTGTTTTTATATTTTTTATGTTTAAGGCGCATGTTTTTAAAGGGTTAAAATTTGGGGGAAGCAAATTTTACGTATTTTTTATTAGGAAATTTTTAAAATTGTTTTTTAAGTTAAAATTTGTTTTTTTAATTATTTTTTAAATTCGAAAATTTTACTTACTTTCTTTGATGATTTGATTATCGGGATAAGTCTTCAAGTTCAATTGGGGACTGGCAGTGGTGGGTACGGAAGCTAAAGGAATTAAAAAGAAATTAATTAATAAAATCAAATTTAAAAGAAATTTTCTAAAATTAATAAATGGAAATAAATGTAAATGTTAAAATGATGATATATTTTTTACAAAATAGTACTTGAACAAAGTAATTAGTACTAAAATAGTACTTTGTACCTAAAAAAGTACTTTTTAGCGGACATATTAAAAAAGTTTTAGTACAATTTCTTGGAAATGATCGAAAGTTTTAGAACCTTTTTAAACGAGTTTAGTATCAGTGCTTCCTTTTCCTTTTAAAAGTGCATTTTTTTAAACATTTAGTACTTTTTGGACGGGTAAAAATATCCCCTAAGAGAGGGATTTTCTTTACAATTTTAGTACCATATAGTGCTTGCTTTCCACCACTTCTAGTGCTTTTTAAATTTTAATCTTTATTTTCCTCAACCCCTCAACTTCCTTAACTTACTATCTATACCATTATCCATATCTGGACAATCTAATTCATCGCTTATATCATGCGGACAATCAAAATTTCCATTACAACGTAATGCTAACGGTATACATGGGTCATTCTCACAACGATACATATTCGGGCCACAGGCCTTTGATGATGAGGAGGAGGAGACCGACGGTGTTGTCATGGTCGTAGTAGTAGTAGTGGTGGTGGTGCTGGAAGTTGTGGTAGCTTGTGGTGTCGAAAGTCCTTGAAATGCATAATACGATTCTTTTAAATTAAATCCTAAGAGGATTTTTGAAGAGCGCGCGCATTATGTGTTTCATATGTGGTTTTAGATGTGTAAAGTACATGATGATAATGATGATTGATATGAAAAATATTTATTTATAAGGAAATTTAGAACTTATTGTAAATAGTCGGGGATTTATTCTGAAATATAACTTAGTTCATAGTCTGTCTTTTCTCAAGCCTATAGTCTGAAATATAGTCTACTCTATACTCTCGACTATAATCTAATCAAGCCTATAGTCTATAGTCTAGTCTATAGTCTAGTCTATAGTCTAGTCTATAGTCTAGTCTATAGTCTAGTCTATAGTCTAGTCTATAGTCTAGTCTATAGTCTAGTCTATAGTCTAGTCTATAGTATAGTCTATAGTCTAGTCTGTAGTCTAGTCTATAGTCTAGTCTATAGTCTAGTCTATAGTCTAGTCTATAGTCTAGTCTATAGTCTAGTCTATAGTCTAGTCTATAGTCTAGTCTATAGTCTAGTCTATAGTCTAGTCTATAGTCTAGTCTATAGTCTAGTCTATAGTCTAGTCTATAGTCTAGTCTTAGTCTATAGTCTAGTCTATAGTTAGTCTATAGTCTAGTCTATAGTCTAGTCTATAGTCTAGTCTATAGTCTAGTCTATAGTCTAGTCTATAGTCTAGTCTATAGTCTAGTCTATAGTCTAGTCTATAGTCTAGTCTATAGTCTAGTCTATAGTCTAGTCTATAGTCTAGTCTATAGTCTAGTCTATAGTCTAGTCTATAGTCTAGTCTATAGTCTAGTCTATAGTCTAGTCTATAGTCTAGTCTATAGTCTAGTCTATAGTCTAGTCTATAGTCTAGTCTATAGTCTAGTCTATAGTCTAGTCTATAGTCTAGTCTATAGTCTAGTCTATAGTCTAATCTATAGTCTAGTCTATAGTCTAGTCTATAGTCTAGTCTATAGTCTAGTCTATAGTCTAGTCTATAGTCTAGTCTATAGTCTAGTCTATAGTCTAGTCTATAGTCTAGTCTATAGTCTAGTCTATAGTCTAGTCTATAGTCTGGTCTATATTCTAGTCTATAGTCTAGTCTATAGTCTAGTCTATAGTCTAGTCTATAGTCTAGTCTATAGTCTAGTCTATAGTCTAATTTATAGTCTAGTCTATAGTATAGTCTATAGTATAGGCTATAGTCTAGTCTATAGTCTAGTCTATAGTCTAGTCTATAGTTTAGTCTATAGTCTAGTCTATAGTCTAGTCTATAGTCTAGTCTAGAGTCTAGTCTATAGCCTGGTCTATAGTCTAGTCTATAGTCTAGTTTATAGTCTAGTTTATAGTCTAGTCTATAGTCTAGTCTATAGCCTGGACTAGAGTTTAGTCTTATGAACTTTTTTTGAAAGATCCTGTTCAAGGACCTTTATAGACCTATTTTTATTCTATTTTTTTTTGTTGTACTTACTGCAATGTTTCTCATCAGAAGAATCAAGACAATCAGTGTAACCATTACATCTGGCCAAAGCACTAACACACTGGCCACTGTCACAGCGGAATTGACTAGCCGAGCAACGGCTGGGATAAGCTGGAATAGGATCAGCACAGTCTTCTTCATCAGAGCGGTCAAAGCATTCAGTACGACCATTACAGTGGGCATAACCGGGCACGCAATCACCGTTACGGCAACGGAATTGATCAGCAGCACAGCCTTTGTTATGAAAATTTAATAAAAAATATTAGCTTTAGATATATGCTACGGAAGCTTTAGAAAAAAGCTTTCTAAAAAGCTTTGAAAAATTTAAATTTAAAAAAAAAATATTTTTTTAAAGTGCTGTTTTACACATAAACATGCCTTAAACATTAAACAACTACTTAATTTTATTAAAAATTATAAACTTAAGAAAAAAGCTTTTAATTTTATGGTAAAAAAATATTCTACTAAATTATAACTTTTCTTTAAAAAAAGCTAACTAATGAAAATTGATTTTTTTAAAAACAAAGATATTAACCAATGCAATTTTGTTCATCTGAAAAATCTTTACAATCATAGAATCCGTCACAGTGTTGGGTCTCATTGATGCAAAATTTACGATCGAAACAGAAAAATTCATCTTCTTTGCACGTCAAACCTTTTAAAGTTTATGGTGAAAATTTGCATAGAGTTTGTGTTTTTATTTTATTGTGATTAAAAAGCATTTATTTGTGTGTAATAGAGAAGAAAAAGAGAAAAAGTTTTCGTATTTTTTTGATGTTTACAAAGAGCTAGGGTGGGTGATGAAAAGAAAAAGCTTTTGTGTGGAGGGTGCTTTTAAGGGGATTTTTTTTGTTGTAGAAAGTGAAATTAGCTTAAGCTTTTTCTGAATATTTTAAAAGCTTTTCAGAAGTTTCTAGAAAAGCTTTTGGGAAGGCTTTCAGAAAGCCTTCTAAAGTTGTTAGAAAAGCTTTCTAAAGTTATTAGATAAGTTTTCTAAAACTTTTAGAAATGCTTTTAGATACGTTTTCTAAAACATTAAGAAATGCTTTCTTAAGCTTTTAAAAATGCTTTCTAAAGCTTTTAGAAAAAAGCTCTTGGAAAATATTTCTAAAGCTTTCAGAAAAGCTTTTTAGAGCTTTTAGAAAAACTTTCTCAAGTTCTTTAAAAACCTTTCACAAGCTTTTTAAAAAGTTTTATTAAGCCTTTTGAAAAGCTTTCTCAAGCTTTTAGAAAAGCTTTCTCAAGCATTTATAAAAGTTTTCTAAAGCATTCTGGAGCTTTTATAAAAGCATTTTAAAGTTTGTAGAAAAGCTCGCTAAAGCTTTTATACATGTTTAAAGGAAAAAAAAGCTTTTCTAAGCTTTCACCATTTCACTTTTTTCAAAAATAAACGAAAAGAAACGAACCATCAACCAATTTCTAACTTAGAACTAAAAAAGATGGTGCTTTAAGTTTTAATGTGCTAAGAAAGCTTAATATTATTTTAAATGAAAGTGTTTAGTTTAAGTGGGATTAGTAGAGCTTTTTGTGGAGCTTTTGTTTGTGTGTATTTTTCTGGACATTAGTGTTATAACTTACATTCAGCTTCATCAGAACCATCATCACATTGAGAAATACCATCACAACGTTCATTCTCACTATAACACTGACCATTGGGGCAGGTATGCTGGGGACAGGGATAGGTGGGTGGACGGCGTGTGGGACGAGCACAGCCCTCTTCATCGCTACGATCAGCACAATCAGATTGGCCATTGCAACGTATGGTATTGGGATGGCAGTCATCATCACAGAAGAATTGATCTTCGTTACAGTCCTCGGGTGTTAGAACGGTTGTGACTGTTTGTGTTTTTGAGTCGAGCGAGCGGGCGGGCGGGCGTTCAAGTGTGTGCGTGGTGGTGTAGTGGGAATTTAGCATGATTATGTTTTGTTTTTTTTTTTTTTGACAAGCAAGCGTGTTTGACAAGCATGATTTTTGTTTGTTTGTCATGTTATAACATAAAAAGATAAAGCAGGGAATAGAAAGAGAGAGAGAAAGAAAGAAAATACATTTAGTTAGAACATGTTTTGCAATGAGCTTTTGTTTTAAAGCATATGAGGAGATTTTTTTTTTGTATTTTTTTTACAAATTATATACAATTTGATATATCACATTAAAAAAGGGGTTTTATGGTTTTTGTACATAAAATATTTTGGACTTACAACTAAATTTACAAAAAAAAAAATACTTAAGAAATTTTGAAATACTTAATCTTTATTAAATATAACTTATTTCTAATCATTATATTACCCTTGCCTACACAATAATTGGGTGCTTCATCGGAATGATCCTTACAATCAAAGTAACCGTCACAAAATCGGTTCTTAGCAATACAATCAGAATTATCACATTTCCATTGATCCGTACGACAGGTGACATTTTTAAATCTTATTATAAACTGATCTCTGTTACGATCTTTTTTTTGGTTAAGTTAAGGTGTTTTTGTGATTTGTGGATTTTTTTTATGAAAATGAAACAGATAAATTGCATGAAAGACAAAAACAAAAAATGTATAATAATAGTTGAAATGAAAAAAAGAAATGAAAAGTTTTAGTATAATAGTGGTTGGGTGATATGGAGTTTTAAGGGAAAAGTTTCTAAAATTTTAAAATTTGTTTCTTTAAATTTCAATTATTTTTTTATTTATAAAAGAAATATAGTTTTAAGTGTAAAAGCTTTATAGCTGAAGCTTTAGAAAATGAAAGCTTTTTAAATACAAATAATTTTTAAAGACCTTAAAAAACAAATTAGATATATAATTTTTTAATATTTCAGTAAAAGCTCTACTTTTTAAAGCAAAAGCTTTTTAAAAAGCTCTTGCATAAAAAGCTTTTTTTCTTAAACACATTTTGTAAAAAAATCCCTAAACATTTTAAGGTATTTTTTAAGTTCGAGAAAAAGCTTTTGGTTGTTATAAAGAAAAGCTTTTGCTAATAAAAGCTTTTTTCAGAAAATTTCTTTCTTTATTAAAGTAAATCTTTTTATAACAATTTTAATACAAAATTTTAAAAAATTACTTTAAAAGCTTTATTTATTATACGATAAAAGCTTTTGTCAATAAAAGCTTTTTATAAAAAAAATTATTTTAAACAAATATTTACCTCATTATGGTTGATTTTATTAAATAAATTAGAAAATTATATTAAAAGCTTTTGCGAAATTACATAAAAGCTTTTAAAGAAGCTTTACAAAATAAAAGGTTTTTCGCAAAATTATTTAAAACCCAAACCTATTCGAAAAGCTGCCTTTTGGAAAAGATTTAGAAAGCTTTTCGACTAGGTTTAGAAAAGCTTTCTAGATATTCCTAAAGCTTTTTAAGCTTTTAGAAATGAATTCTAAATATTTTCGAATACTTTCCTGGAGATTATAGAAAATCTATGTAAAGGTTTTAGAAAAGCTTTCAAAAGCTTTCTAAAGCATTTAAAGAACTTTCGTAAAGCTTTTAGAAAATCTTTGTAAAGTTTTTAGAAAAACTTTAAAACATTTTCTTAAAGCTTTTGGAAAAGCTTTCAGAAAGTTTCCTAAAGTCTTTATTAAGGCTTTCTAAAGCATTTAGAGAAGAAAGTTTCCTAAAGCTTTTAGAAAAGTTTAACACAGCTTTTAAAACAACTTGTAGAAAAGCTTCCTAAAGCTTTTAGAAAAGCTTCCTAACGCTTTTAGAAAAGTTTCCTAAAGCTTTTAGAAAAGCTTCCTAAAGCTTTTGGATAAGCTTTCATAAGCTTTTAGAAAAGCTTTCATAAGCTTTTAGAATTTGTTTCTAAAACCTTAGGAAAAGCTTTCTAAAGCTTTAAAAAAGCTTCCAAAAGCTTTTAGAAAAGCTTTCTATAGCTTTTAGAAAAGCTTTCTATAGCTTTTAGAAAAGCTTTCTATAGCTTTTATTCAAGTTTTCTTAAGTCCTAGAAAAGCTTTTCTCAGGTTTTTGAAAAAGTTTCTGAATGTTTTCTGACAAGCTTTCTAAAGCTCCTAAAAAAGTTTTTTGGAATTTTTTCACAGGATTTAAAATTTTGAATTTCGTTGGGATTTTTGCAGGATTAGACACGCCAATATATGATACCAATAACAAATATGTTAATAAGATACAACATATTAGAGGAGTAAAATAGAAAGAGGATAAGAAAAAGTGGGAGAAAGTTTACCATCGCAACCCTCTTCATCGGAACCATCGTCACAATCATATTTGCCATCGCATTTTAGTTGCTCAGCGTGACAATCTTTAAAAATTTCTTAACATTTTTTGCAATGAGAAACAAATAAAAGAAATTATAAAATGAAAACATTTATAAAAAAAAACACAAAACAAATTGAGAAAAAAATTTTAGGAAATAAAAAATTATTTTTTAAAAATTTAGTAAAAACTGTGCTAAACTTAAGTTATGACTAAAATACTACAGCTATTGTGTATAAAACTAAAAAAAGGGACTAAACTACTGCTACAGTTAAAAAAGTTGCAAACCTTTTTTTTGTGATAAAAAAATACAACAACAAAGGGATAAACTTACCACAATTGTGCTCATCACTACCATCAGCACAATCATTGTGACCATCACAATGTAATTTATCTAAAATACATTCACCCGTATTGCAACTGAAATAGTTTTTTTTCCCCCACAGAGTGTTTGTTTAATTTTATAATGCAGTGTATTTAAATTGATTTGATTACATTATGAGTGTAGGGTGTAGGTTTGTGTATTGATGAGTGAATGAGTTGTTGATAATGTTGTTGTTTTTGTTGTTTTGAGTTGATGATATGGTTGATGAATGATGTTGTTTACAAGAAGATTTTGAAAAAAAAAAAAAAAAACATTTAAGAAAAAAAGGGAGCATATTTAGTACTTTTTTTTTGGTCTTTTTTCTAAAAGGACTTTTTTGTTTTAAAAATATAATGAAATTTGCTTTTTTCGTCAAAATTTTTTAAAGAATTTTTGAAATTTTATGAAATTAAAAAAAGTACTTTTTGGGTACTTTTTGCAAAAATTATAATTTTGTAACAAAATGTTTAATTTTACAACTTTATTCTTTAAAATTTGCTTTAAAAAACTATTTTTAGCAAAAAGTAATTTTTTGTTACTTTTTTCCAAAGAAGTACTTTTGCTAAAAAATCATATTTTTAGCAAGCTTACGATTTTTTAAGCATTAGTTATCGAAATTTACAAAAATTTAACAATTTTTAAAAAAGTACTTTTTTTTGGTACTTTTTTCCAAAAAAGTACTTTTGCTAAAAAATCATATTTTTTTAGCAAGCATAAGCTTTTTTAAGCATTACTAATTGAAATTTAGGAAAATTTAAACATTTTCAAAAAAGTACTTTTTGAAAAATTTAAATTTTTGCTTGAAATAAGTATTTTTAAAGATTTTTTAAATATTTAAGCATAAATTTCTTAAGAAATCGTAAATTTCAAAAAGTATTTTTTTTGGTACTTTTTTTGAAAAAGTATTTGTAGTAAGTATTTATATAAAATTTCTTATTTTTAAGAATTTTGTTAAATTTAATAATTATCTTGTAATATGCTTAGAAAATTGTGGTACTTTTGTTGGAAAAGGGAATTTTTGAAAAAAGTACTTTTTTTTGGTACTTTTTGAAAAATTTAAATTTTTAGTCAAAAATGGAAAGTTTTAGTACTTTTTAGCGAAAATAAGTAGTTTTTAACGTTTTAGTGATAAATTTCACTGGAAATGTTAAATTTCAAAAATTACTTTTTTGGTACTTTTTTAAAAAATGTTAAAATTTGTATAAAATTTCTTATTTTTTTAGAATTTTGTTAAATTTATTAATTTTCTTGTGTTAGGCTTAGAAAATGTTGGTACTTTTTTTGAAAAAGGGGATTTTTGAAAAAAGTACTTTTTTTGGTACTTTTTAAAAATTGAAATTTTTAGTCAAAAATAGAAAGTTTTAGTACTTTTTAGCGAAAATAAGTAGTTTTTAACGTTTTAGTGATTAATTTCACTGGAAATGTTAAATTTTAAAAAGTACTTTTTTGGTACTTTTTGAAAAAAAGTTCAAATTTGTATAAAATTTCTTACTTTTTTATAATTTTGTTAAATTTAATTTTGTTGTGTTAGGCTTAGAAAATTTTGGTATTTTTATTGGAAAAGGGAGTTTTGTAAAAAGTACTTTTTTGGTACTTTTTGAAAAATTTTAATTTTTGCTTTAAATAAGTAGTTTTAAGTGATTTACACATAAAATAAATAGTTTCTAGTGTTTTACACTTAAATTTGAATCAAAATTGGAAATTACAAAAAGTACTTTTTTTGGTACTTTTTTAAAAAAAGTTCAAATTTGTATAAAATTTCTTATTTTTTTAGAATTTGTTTAAATTTATTAATTTTCTTGTGTTATGTTTACAAAATTTTGATACTTTTGTTGGAAAAGGGAATATTTGAAAAAAGTACTTTTTTTGGTACTTTTTGAAAAATTAAAATTTTTGCTTTAAATAAGTAGTTTTAAGTGATTTACACATAAATTTGACAAAAAATCAATAACTACAAAAAGTACCTTTTGGTACTTTTGGTAAAAAAGGGGAATTTGAAAGGATTTTTTGAAGTTTTCCATTAATTTTGTTAAATTAAGCAAAAATTTCATTATATTTTTGTTTGTTCTCTTTTTTTTGTCCTTACAGATATGCTCTATCGCGACAGAATGTGCAATTTTTCTCATCGGTGCCATCGCTACAATCTTGTACGCCATCACATTGTTGATTACGTAAAATACATAAATTGTCATCACATTCATATTCATTACTATTACAATCTGTGAAACAAAAAACATTTATTAAACACGTAATGAAACAATTAAACAGTTATAATGTAGTTGAAGGGGCTGGGGCGTGGTGGAAAGGGGGCGTTGACGTCTTGTTGTTTTTGGTTTACCTGTAAAAGGTGGACAACCGATTTCATCGGTTTCATCATCACAATCGGGATAACCATCACATTTTTTCTCAATCGGTATACAACGCGAATAATCACATTCAAATTCATAAATATCACAGGAATTCATGGGATCCTCTGGTATAAAATCTTCTTTGTAGATGTAAAATGTTTGGTGTTGTTGAAGGTATGTATGATGTTTGGATGTATGTTATGAATGAAAAATAAATGAAAATTTAAATTAATTTAAAAAATGTTCTTTTTTTAACAAAATTTCTTTGTTCCATAAATGGTTTTGTATAAAAACTATTTCAAAAACAAGGGTTTTTTTAAGAGTTAAAAGAAAGTGCTTAAACTAAAAACTACTAGAGTTTGCTAAAGTTAGTTTTGGGAGCCATTCTTTAGGGATTTCTTTGAGTTTTTTTACCATAATTAGCTTCATCATAATTGAGGGGACAATTGATTTCATCGGAACCATCTAGACAATCGGTGATGCCATTGCATAATTTATAGCCCGCTATGCAGATGCCATCGGCACATTGAAATTGAAAACTTAAACATTCAGCCAAATTGCGCGTTTTATTAAAATTTGCATTGAAATCTGGCAAATTTTAACGTAAATTTAAAAAAATTTCGTTTTTTTTTTTCAAAAGAGCATAAGTTTTAAATAGTAGTAGATGCAGATAATAGTAGTAGAGTAGTAGTTCAAGATGAAAGCAGAATTTTGAATAAAAATGATACATGAAATGAAACAAAATTTGTTGGCATAGAGAAAAAAAAAAAAGAAAATTTTTATGAGTATAATGAGGAGATAAATTAAAATTAAATGTTTTAAAACTAAACATGAAAACATTGATACATAAAATGACATGAAAAATGCAAGTAAATTATAAAAGAAAACATGCAAATATAAAAATTTTAAGGGAAATTTGAAAAAAAATAAAATTTTTGGGAAAATATTGTATGATAAATTTCAATTATTTCTCTTAACTATGTTTTAATTCCTTTAAAAACTGAACAACTTTTGTTTTTAAGCAAAAAAGTACTTTTTTGGTATTTTCGAGTTCTGTTCCAGTTCTGTTCTAGTTCTGTTCTAGTCCTGTTCTGTTCTAGTTCTGTTCTAGTTCTGTTCTAGTTCTGTTCTAGTTCTGTTCTAGTTCTGTTCTGGTTCTGTTCCAGTTCTGTTCTACTTCTGTTCTAGTTCTGTTCCAGTTCTGTTCCAGTTCTGTTCCAGTTCTGTTCCAGTTCTGTTCTAGTTCTGTTCTAGTTCTGTTCTAGTTCTGTTCTAGTTCTGTTCTAGTTCTGTTCTAGTTCTGTTCTAGTTCTGTTCTAGTTCTGTTCTAGTTCTGTTCTAGTTCTGTTCTAGTTCTGTTCTAGTTCTGTCCTAGTTCTGTTCTAGTTCTGTTCTAGTTCTGTTCTAGTTCTGTTCTGTTCTAGTTCTGTTCTAGTTCTGTTCTAGTTCTGTTCTAGTTCTGTTCTAGTTCTGTTCTAGTTCTGTTCTAGTTCTGTTCTAGTTCTGTTCTAGTTCTGTTCTAGTTCTGTTCTAGTTCTGTTCTAGTTCTGTTCTAGTTCTGTTCTGTTCTAGTTCTGTTCTAGTTCTGTTCTAGTTCTGTTCTAGTTCTGTTCTAGTTCTGTTCTAGTTCTGTTCTGTTCTAGTTCTGTTCTAGTTCTGTTCTAGTTCTGTTCTAGTTCTGTTCTAGTTCTGTTCTAGTTCTGTTCTAGTTCTGTTCTAGTTCTGTCTAGTTCTGTTCTAGTTCTGTTCTAGTTCTAGTTCTATTCTAGTTCTGTTCTAGTTCTGTTCTAGTTCTGTTCTAGTTGTGTTCTAGTTGTGTTCTAGTTGTGTTCTAGTTGTGTTCTAGTTGTGTTCTAGTTGTGTTCTAGTTGTGTTCTAGTTGTGTTCTAGTTGTGTTCTAGTTGTGTTCTAGTTGTGTTCTAGCTGTGTTCTAGTTGTGTTCTAGTTGTGTTCTAGTTCTGTTCTAGTTCTGTTCAAGTTCTTTTCTAGTTCTGTTCTAGTTCTGTTCAAGTTCTTTTCTAGTTCTGTTCTAGTTCTGTTCAAGTTCTGTTCAAGTTCTGTTCAAGTTCTGTTCTAGTTCTGTTCTAGTTGTGTTCTAGTTGTGTTCTAGTTTTGTTCTAGTTCTGTTTCTAGTGTGTTCTAGTTGTGTTCTAGTTGTGTTCTAGTGTGTTCTAGTTCTGTTTCTAGTTCTGTTCTAGTTGTGTTCTAGTTGTGTTCTAGTTGTTTTCTAGTTGTGTTCTAGTTTTGTTCTAGTTTTGTTCTAGTTCTGTTCTAGTTCTGTTCTAGTTCTGTTCTAGTTCTGTTCTAGTTCTGTTCTAGTTCTGTTCTAGTTCTGTTCTAGTTCTGTTCTAGTTCTGTTCAAGTTCTTTTCTAGTTCTGTTCTAGTTCTGTTCAAGTTATTTTCTAGTTCTGTTCTAGTTCTGTTCAAGTTCTGTTCTAGTAATGTTCTAGTAATGTTCTAGTTCTGTTCTAGTTCTGTTCTAGTTGTGTTCTAGTTGTGTTCTAGTTGTGTTCTAGTTGTGTTCTAGTTGTGTTCTAGTACTGTTCTAGTTCTGTTCTAGTTCTGTTCTAGTTCTGTTCTATTTCTGTTCTAGTTCTGTTCTAGTTCTGTTCTAGTTCTGTTCTAGTTTTGTTCTAGTTCTGTTCTAGTTCTGTTCTAGTTATGTTCTAGTTCTGTTCTAGTTCTGTTCTAGTTCTGTTCTAGTTCCGTTCTAGTTCTGTTCTAGTTCTGTCTAGATGTTTTCTAGTTGTGTTCTAGTTCTGTTCTAGTTCTGTTCTAGTTTTGTTCTAGTTCTGTTCTGATCTAGTTCTCTTCTAGTTCTTGTATAAAATTTGGTACTTTATTGTCAGACTCCAAATAAAACATGTACTAAGAATGTTCAGAATTCTTTAGAATTAAGTGGAAAATTGAGGTGAGGGAGTGAAATGATTTAGGAGTAGAAATGAGGTGAATATGAGAGAGGGAGGGTGAGAGAGTGTGCGAGGGAGAATATGGAAAATGTAGATGAAAGTGAAATATTATGAAATTTTTAGATTGTAACCAAAAAATTGTTTTTTTTTTCCGAATTTTATATAAAATTGGAAAGGATTAAAAAGAAAATTTTCTTCTAAGACGATAAGCTCTCTTTTGTCACTCTCTTTGTTTTAAAAGAGAGAGTAATTTGGTTAGTTTTTTTCTTTTGGGAGAAATTTTAAAAAGATTTTATGTGATAATTTTGAATTTTGTTTGCTACTTTGGAAGTAATTTTCAGTTTATAGTTCATACACTGAGAGAAATTTTAGGGTAGAAATACAAACTTAAAAAAATATTTAAAATAAAGGATTATTTAGAATAAAGAAAAAATAAATTTAAAGAAATTAAATTAAATAAAAAATAATAAATAATAATACACTAAAAAAAAAATACACTGAGAAAATGCAAATATTTTATAAGATAAACAAATAATACTGAGATAAATAAATAAAAATATTGTATAAAAAATAAATTAATAAAAACAAACATACTTTTAAAAATTTACTCTAAATTAACAGAAAATTTAAAGAAAACTACAACAAAAATACATAAAATAATAAAAATATTTCTACAAAAATTTATACTAAACTAAACATTTTCTTTAAGAAAATTATAAACTACAACAAAATACGTTTTTTTAACTAAAGTTTTTAGTAAAAAATATTGTAACAAAACATGCTCGAGACATGCTCCGGCATGCACAACATTTAACTACTACATGCAATATATCAAACATTTACTTAAAATAAACTTTCAAACATGCAAATCATCTACAAAATTTTTTTAAAAAAAATATGTTCCTTTTAAAAATATACTTACGACAACTAATTTCATCACTGCCATCTCGACACTGAGGTTTGCCATCACAAACTTGTGTTTTAGGTATACAGCCACCGCCTCGTATACATTTGAACTAAAGAGTAGTGAGTGTTTGTTTCAATGTGGTTGTGATTTGTTTTAAGAACTTTGTTTTATTTTTCACTAAAAGTGGTTGTGGCTTTTCTTCCCCTTAACAAAAATTACACAACTTACCTTATCACTACTGCAATGACACAGACCATAACTTTCATCATCCATACGCTTACAATCGCCTATACCATCACATACACTTTCCAATGGTATACAATCGCCACTTTCACACATAAATTCCATGCTTAAGCAAGTTTTTTTGGCTTTAGATTTTTATGATTTTTGTTTAAGAAAAAAATATATGCGCAAAAAAATTTTTAAAATTTGTTGTTGTTGTTGTTTTGCGAAAAAAAAAACGCATTTTATGAAATTTGGTGTAGAGTGAAGGGTGATATATAAAAGAGAGAAAAATGTGTAAAAATTTTAAGTTTTTAATGATTTTTTTTAAATGATGATTAAAAGTCAAAAATGTTAAAAACAAAGTTAAGAATGTTACCATCCTCCTGGACAATTGACCAAAAAACAGTGTTATTTACAATTAATATTTACAGTGTAAATTACAAAAAAGGACAAACAAACAATCGACTATAGTCTGCACTATAGAATAGACTATAGTCTGGACTATAGAACAGTCTGTAGTCTGAACTATAGAATAGACTATAGTCTGGACTATAGAATAGACTATAGTCTGGACTATAGAATAGACTATAGTCTGGACTATAGAATAGACTATAGTCTGGTCTATGGAATAGACTATAGTCTGGACTATAGAAAAGACTATAGTCTGGACCATACAATAGTCTATAGTCTGGACAATAGAATAGACTATAGTCTGGACTATAGAAAAGACTATAGTCTGGACTATAGAATAGACTATAGTCTGGACTATAGAATAGACTATAGTCTGGACTATAGAATAGACTATAGTCTGAACTATAGAATAGACTATAGTCTGGACTATAGAATAGACTATAGTCTGGACTATAGAAAAGACTATAGTCTGGACCATACAATAGTCTATAGTCTGGACTATAGAATAGTCTAGAACGGTCTATAGTCTGGACTATAGAATAGACTATAGTCTGGACTATAGAATAGACTATAGTTTGGACTATAGAATAGACTATAGTCTGGACTATAGAAAAGACTATAGTCTGGACTATAGAAGAGACTATAGTCTGGACCATACAATAGTCTGTAGTCTTGACCATAAATTAGTCTAAAGTCTGGACCATAGAATAGTCTATAGTGTGGACTATAGAATAGTCTATAGTCTAGACTATAGAATAGTCTATAGTCTAGACTATAGAATAGTCTATAGAATAGTCTATTGTCTGGACTATAGAATAGACTATAGTCTGGACTATAGAATTGTCTATAGTCTGGACTATAGAATAGTCTATAGTCCGGACTATAGAATAGTCTATAGTCTGGACAATAGAATAGTCTATAGTCTGGACTACAGAATAGTCTATAGTCTGAACTATAGAATAGTCTATAGTCTGGACTATAGAATAGACTATAGTCTGGACTATAGAATAGACTATAGTCTGGACTATAGAATAGACTATAGTCTGGACTTTAGAAAAGTCTATGGCCTGGACTATAGAAAAGTCTATAGTCTGGACCATAGAATAGTCTATAGTCTGGACTATAGAATAGTCTTAAGTCTGGACTAAAGAAAAGTCTATAGTCTGGACCATAGAATAGTCTATAGGCTGGACTATAAAATAGTCTATAGTCTGAATTATAGAACAGTCTGGACTATAGAAAAGTCTATAGTCTGGACTATAGAATAGTCTATACTCTGGACTGTAGAATAGTCTATAGTCTGGACTATAGAACAGACTATAGTCTGAACTATAGAACAGTCTATAGTCTGGAATATAGAACAGTCTATAGTCTGGACTATAGAGCAGTCTATAGTCTGGACTATAGAACAGTCTAAAGTCTGGACTATAGAATAGTCTATAGCCTGGACTATAGAATAATCTATAGTCTGGACTATAGAATAGTCTATAGTCTGGACTATAGAATAGTCTAAAGTCTGGACTATAGAATAGTCTATAGTCTGGACTATAGAATAGTCTATAGTCTGAACTATAGAATAGTCTATAGTCTGGACTATAGAATAGTCTATAGTCTGGACTATAGAATAGTCGATAGTCTGGACTATAGAATAGTGTATATTCACTATAGAATAGTCTATTGTCTGGACTATAGAATAGTCTTAAGACTGGACTAGAGAATAGTCTTAAGTCTGGATTATAGAATAGTCTATAGTCTCGACTATATAATAGTCTATAGTCTGGACTATAGAATAGTCTATAGTCTGGACTAGAGAATAGTCTTAAGTCTGGACTATAGAATAGTCTAATGTCTGGACTAAAGAATAGTCTATAGTCTGCACTATAGAATAGTCTATAGTCTGGACTATAGAATATATATTATAGTCTGTGCTATACTCTGGACTATAGTCACGTCCTAGTTTGGACTATAGCTACTTCTATAGTCTGAACTATAGTCACGATTTAATATGTACTATAATCTAGTCTATGATCTGAACTGCAAACTATAGTCTGGACTATAGTCTGAAACTGGACCTTAGATTCAAATTAACTTTAGGAACTAGGTCCGGAGCCTATCTTCTCTTTAAAACTAAATTTTATTAAAATATCTCTTTTGATTTAAGTGGAAGAGTTCTATAAGAAAATTTCGATTTTCAGGCCAATTACACTGTAAAAAATTTGTGTGTTAGTTTTTAAGCCAATTGTAGGTGTGTTTAATTTTTCTTTTAACGAAAAAACCTTCTTAACTTTGTGAAAAATAATTAGAAAACTTATAATGTAAACAAAATTTAATTAGTAAAGTTAATATTTTTTTTTTAAATTTCTTCGAGAGATGATGAAATGAAAGAGATATTTTTTGTTGAGATAATTTTTGGTATAATATGTGAACCAAAGTTTAGATTGGAAGTAGATAATGAAAAGCCATTTATAGACGATAAACATACTAGGAGCTGGTGTAGTTGTTGTTGTTGTTGTGGTAGTCGTTAAAGTGGTCCTTAACGTGCTGGTACTAGTACTGGCGGTAGTTTTTATCACATTAGCCGGTGGTGGTGATTGTGTGGTATTTAGTTTATTTTGTATTTGAAGTCTGTACTCATCACAATTTAATTCATCGGTCATGTCATTACAGTGATAGAAACCATCACATCTCAAATGCAAGGGTATGCACACATTATTGCCACAACGGAATTGAAACTCGGTACAGGGATTCTTTTCGGAGGCTTTATTGTAAATATCAGGATGATAGTAATAATAATCATGCATATCCAGTTGATGCAATGAACCACCATTTGAGCTGCCGGGTCTATAGCCCGGACGATAATGGGATACCGGAGGAGCCGAGGTAGCAGGACGACGGTGATGATCAGCATATTCTCTAATGATTTCATCCTCATCGAAGATATTTTGATTAAAATCTTGTAAGTCTTGGGTTTTAGCATTCATTTTAAAAAACCGCATGCACCGTTAGTTTTTTTTGATTAGGGGGGAGTTTTTTTTTTAATGAGGAGGGGAAATAACATGCAAATTTTGTTGTAGCAGCCGATTTTTTGTTGTTGTTGTGGGTTTTTATAGTAGTGAGATAAATCATTCAGTCATCAGCCAATTTGTTGAAGAATTTTGTACAAAATTTTTTACAGTGTAGTTAATTTTGTTAGAGTTTTTTTTTTAGGTTTTTTTAGTTGTAACCATAACCACACAATTATGTTTTGTTTTTCAATTCAAAAAAAGGTTTAAAGGAAAAGGAAATAAAAAGAAAAATTGTTGTTGAATATTAATCAAATCCAAAATTTTAGAAACTTTTCTAAAAAGTTTCTCTAACTAGGAAATAAACACAGAAAACGGGAGCTAAGGGCAGGAAAAAGCATTGAAAGCCTAAAAACTATAGAATAAAGCTTTTAGCTAAAGTGAGAGAGAGCGACAGCGAGTCAAAGTTTTTTAACGGAAACAGGGACGTTTTTTTATAGTTAATAGATTAGCCACCACCACTTAAAACACTCAGAGAAACTGCAAAAAAAAAACTTACCACAATCTGTTTCATCAGAATAATCATCACAATCATAGATATTGTCACAGACCTCACGCATAGGTATACATTGACCATTATTACAACGGTATTCATAATATTTACAATAATCGCCACTATCATCATCACCGCCTTTTTTTTTTGTAAAGGGCGTGACAAATTTCAAATAATGGCCAGTTTAACAAGGGTTAAAGGTATCAAAAGGGGTTAATTTAACAACAATAAAAGAGCATGCAAAAAAGGGTGAAAAGAGATAAAAAATTTTGATAGTTTAAAAATAAATAAAGAAAAATATTTACAAAAACTACTAAAATATACAAAAAAGTTGTTAAAAATACAAACCCAGGAATGAAATGGAATGGTACAATATAATATTTTCAATTAAAACATAACATAAACACTTACTTTAGAAAAAAACTTAAGGCAATAATGAGTAACCAATAATATTTGGATTAAAGGAACGAAATGGAATGAAACATATAAAAAGGAAACTTAAGAAAATTATAGAAAACTAGATTTTTAAATGAAAATGGCATAAAACTTGAGCAAATATATGATTTTCGTAAGGAATTTAAAATTTTTCACAAAGAAACGTTTTGGAATGGAACCCTCAATTTATGAAATGTAAGAAAAAATACCGGATTTATAACAGATTTATAACAAAAAACAATTTTAAATTAACAAATAAAATTATTTATATGTTTTAATGTAAAATATCTGTTGAAACAATATGGAATGAAACATAAATTTTCTTAAATTTCCAAAACATAACAATGAAATAACTTAAATATTAATACAAATAAGGTAAATATAAGTGGGTTATAAACAAAATGTGTATTTTCCTTAAAGAAACAAACTGGAATGGAACACTTTTTTAACAAAATTAAAAAAAAGTTAAAATTTAAAACAAAAACTAAAGGACAAAATTTAAGAAAAAACTGATTGTTTTTATACAACAAATTATACAGGGAACGTTTTGGCATGAAACAGTTGTTATATTTATAGCAACAACTATTTTAATTTTCTTTGTATTAATCATTTAACAACAAAGATTTCTCAAACTTGAAAATTCTTTTAGAATTTTAATTATTAAGAAATTAAGTAATTTTTATATTTAGCCGCTGTTATCTGTCTAATGCAGGGCATGAACATGACGAAATTTGCATAAAATTAACATAAATTTCTAAACAAAGAAATGTTTAATTCATAAAAAAAAAAATTAATTAATATTTATAAATGACAAATGATGACATTGTTAAGATAATTTGTAATGGAACGTGTTGAAATTAAAATAAGATCAAAATAACGAAGACAATAATTGATTTCAAAGGGATAAGAACATTTATAGTTTTAACTATAGAATAGTTTAGAGTCTGGACTATATAGTGAACTATAGTCTGGACTATAGAATAGTCTATAGTCTGTATATAGAATAGTCTATAGTCTGGACTATAGAATAGTCTATAGACGGGACTATAGAATAGTCTATAGTCTGGACTATACAATAGTCTATAGTCTGGACTATAGAATAGTCTATAGTCTGGACTATATAATAGTCTATAGTCTGGACTATAGAATAGTCTATAGTCTGGACTATAGAAAGTCTATAGTCTGGACTATAGAATAGTCTATAGTCTGGACTATAGAATAGTCTATAGTCTGGACTATAGAATAGTCTATAGTCGGGACTATAGAATAGTCTATAGTTTGGACTTTAGAATAGTCTATATTCTAAACTATAGAATAGTCTATAATCTGGACTGTAGAATAGTCTATAGTCTGGACTATAGATTAGTCTATAGTCTATAGTCTGGACTATAGAATAGTCCATAGTCTGGACTATAGAATAGTCTATAATCTGGACTGTAGAATAGTCTATAATCTGGACTGTAGAATAGTCTATAGTTTGGACTATAGATTAGTCTATAGTCTGGACTATAGAATAGTCCATAGTCTGGACTATAGAATAGTTTATAGACTAGACTATAGAATAATCTATAGTCTTGATTATAGAATAGTCTATAGTTTGGACTTTAGAATAGTCTATAGTCTAAACTATGGAATAGTCTATAGTCTAAACTATAGAATAGTCTATAGTCTGAACTGTAGAATAGTCTATAGTCTGGACTATAGAATAGTCTATAGTTTGGACTATAGAATAATCTATAGTCTTGACTATAGAATAGTCTATAGTCTGGACTATAGAATAATCTCTAGTCTGGACTATAGAATAGTCTATTGTTTGGACTTTAGAATAGTCTATAGTCTAAACTATAGAATAGTCTATAGTCTAAACTATAGAATAGTCTATAGTTTAAACTATAGAATAGTCTATAGTCTAAACTATAGAATAGTCTATAGTCTGGACTGTAGAATAGTCTCTATAGTCTATAGTCTGGACTGTAGAATAATCTATAGTCTTGACTATAGAATAGTCTATAGTCTGGACTATAGAATAGTCACTAGTCTGGACTATAGAATAGTCCATTGTCTGGACTATAGAATAGTCTATTGACTGTACTATAGAATAGTCTATAGTCTGGACTATAGAATAGTCTATAGTTTGAACTATAGAATAGTCTATTGTCTGGACTATAGAATAGTCTATAGTCTGGACTATAGAACAGTCTATAGTTTGGACTATAGAATAGTTCATAGTTTTTACTAATGAGTAGTCTATAGTCGGGACAATAGAATATTCTATAGTCTGGACTATAAAAAAGTCTATGGTCTGGACTATAGAATAGACTGTAGTCTGGACTATAGAATAGTCTATAGTCTGGACTATAGAATAGTCTATAGTCTGGACTATAGAATAATCTATAGTCTGGACTGTAGAGTAGTCTGTAATCTGGACTATAGAATAGTCTATAGTCTGGACTATAGATAAGTTTATAATCTTGACTATAATTTGGACTATAGTACACCCCATTGTGCAATGTTTTTTATAAATTTTTATCTATATTTAACTTATCTTTAAAATTTTTCTCACGTTTTTGTTTCTTTTTCAATCACTACTCATTTATGAATGAATGTTTAACTCATTAAGTTTGAAATAAATTCCACGTTTTTCTCTACTTTTTACTATAAATTCCTTATGTTTAGTTTAATACTTAACAAAACTAATAGTAGCTGTCAAAAACGGGTGTAACAACTGGTAAAACATTGTTGGCATAATAAATATTTTGTAATAATGAACGAAGACAGAAATAGCGCTATTATTAGCAAAAACTATAAATGAAATAAATTAAATAATAGGAATTTTTAAACAAGGGAAATTGAGTGAGGAATAGCAACTTAAAAAATAATAATAAAATAAAGAAAATTAACATGAGAAAGAAATTTGATAAAAAAGTAAATGTTTGGTGTATTGTAAGAAGATTGTTTTTTAAAACGTAAAAAAATTATTAAATTTTTAGAAAAATTAACGATTTTTTTTAACAAATCAAGAAAAAACTCGAGAAACTTTTTTAAGTTTTCGATTTTAGAGAAATATCAAGCAAATTTTTGTATTAAAAGTAAAATTTTATGAAAATGAAAAATTTTCCAAAAATTTTTTAAGAAATTTTTTAAAAATTTTCTTATTTTAAAGAAAATTTTATAGAGTTTATGTAACACCATAAAACCCCTAAAGTGTTGTTTATCGAAAACCTTTTAAATTTTTTAATTATGTTTAGGAATCAAAAAGTTATTAACAATTTTCTAACTAAAACTCCTAATTAATATTAATCATACGTACTGGTGGAAAATTTTTAAAAATTCTTAATTTCTTGTTTATCATTAGAAAATTATAAAACTTTTTTTTACTATATAGCTCACCATCACAATGTCTTTCATCTGATATATCTTCGGGACAATCTATATTGCCATTACAACGAAAATTTTTCGAAATACAAGTACCATCATCACACTGCCATTTATCATGTAAGCAGGCTATATGAATTTTTAAAGATAATTTTTAAAAAATATAAATTGAATACTAAGAAAAATGCACAAACATACGACATCCTTCCTCATCCGAACGATCATGCGGACAATCGGCATGACCATCACAACGATGGACTATAGAAATGCAAGTAAAATCGCGACAAGTAAATTTGCCTTTAGGGCAAAAAAATCTTAATTTGGGCACAACTTTGTAGGTGACAAACAAGAAGAAATTTTATACAAAAAGTAAAGAGAATAGAAAAGGGAATAGAAAAACAAAGAAAATACACATTTAGATTTAAAATTAAATGAATTTTTGTACAATTTTTATATACAATGATGGTTAATGTTTTCTTAGGCATATACTTACTGCTATCACAATGTTCTTCATCATCACCATCCAGACAATCTGTTTTACCATCACAGATTTTTGATTCACTAATACAATTGATACCATCTCTACATTGATATTCTATATCACTACATTCGGCCGCTTTTGTTTTATTGGGTTAAAGTTCGAGTTTGAGGTTAGTAGTTAGTTAAAACATTAGTTTAGTTTTCAGACATGCAGTTTTGTTGGAGGGTTAAATGTCAAACAGTTAGTTTTTTTTTCGTTTGAATTATTAACGTTTAGCCATTAGTTTTAGGTAAGCAAAGTTAGAAAAAAATTATTAAAAAATTTTTTAATTAAAATTAGTTTTCTTAATGGATTGTTTTTTTTTAAATAAAACTAAACTATTTAAGTTATTTTTTAAATAAAATACTTAATTAAATTGTTAACTACAATTTAAGCGTTTTTTTTAGATAAATAAACTACCAAAAGGAAACTGCTTAAACAGTTTCCTTTTTTAAATAACTAAAAATTAGTAAAATAAAAATTAAAATTTCATCAAACTTACGACATCTTTCATCTTCATCATCGCCATCGGGACAGTCCATGATACGGTTGCAACGTTTGCTGCCATCAATACAATCACCAGAGTTGCATTTATATTCATTAGGATTGCATTCTGCAAAAATTACAAGCAAAAATAAGAAAAAAATTATTGAAAAATTAGAAAAATTTAACAGAAACAAATTTGGAGAAATAAATTTTTATTTAAAATTTTTTAAAAATAAAATTTTAACAGCTTAGGGCATTAGTTATTAAAATCTTTATAAAATTTCAAAAATTTTCAGAAAACAGTAACAACAACAAATAAATTTCCAAAAAATGGAAAAATTTTAGTTATAGAAAAAATTTTACTTTTTTAAAACAAAAATTTTGTTAAATGGAAAAATTTAAACAAATTTTTTAAAATCAGTTTTGTAAAGTTTGAGGTGTTAGCTTTCAAAATCTATTTAAAAATTTGTAATATTTTAAAAATCAATAAAATTGTGAGAAATTAAAGAAAAAATAAAAAAAAATTTCTTTGGCTAACATTTTTTTTAACAAAAAATTTATTTTCTAGAAAAAATTTCTAAAATTTATTAAAAATAATATTTGATAGCTATTAGGCATAAGCTTTCGAAATCCTTTTAAAATTTTAAAATTCTTAAAAAAACAACAAAGTTTTGAAGAAATTTAAAAAAAATCTAAAAATTTTCTTTGCAAAAAAAAAAAATAATATTTTTTTTACAAAAAATTTTGTTGAACGAAAAAATTTCTAAAATTTATTAAAAATAATTTTTGAAACCCCTAAGGTATTGACTTTCAAAATCCATTTAAATTTTTAAAATTCTTTAAAAAACAACAATATTTTGAAAAAAAATTAAAAAAAATCAAAAAATTTTCTTTTGAAAAATAAAATATTTGTTTTTACAAAAAATTTTGTTCAACGAAAAAATTTTTAAAATTTATTAAAAATAATTTTTGAAAAGCTTGAGGTAGTTGCTTTTGAAAACTTTTTAAAATTTTAAAATCCTTTAGAAAATAACTAAATTTTGAATAAATTTAGAAAAATCAAAAAATGTTCTTTTGCAAAAAAAAAAAAAATATTTTTTTTAACAAAAAATTTTGTTCAGCGAAAATTTTTTTAAATTCACTAAAAATAATTTTTGAAAATATTGAGATAGTAGCTTTTTAAATCTTCTTAAAATTTTAAAATCCTTTAGAAAATAACGAAATTTTGAAAAAATTTAGAAAAATCAAAAAAAAATTGTTGGGCAAATTTTTTTTTTAACAAACAATTTTGTTTAACGAAATTTTTTTTTTAAAATTTGTTTAAAATCATTTCTAAAAAGCTTGAGGTGTTAGCTTTCAAAATCCATTTAAAATTTTGAAATTTTTTAAAAATCAACAAAGTTTTGAAAAACTTAAAAAAAACAAAAAATTTCCTTTTGCAAAATTTTCTTTTCTTTTTTAATAAAAAAGTTTCTTCAACAAAAAATTTTCTAAAATTTATTTAAAATATTTTTTTATAATCCTGAAGTGTTAGCGGTTAAAATCCGTTTAAACTTTTAAATTTCTTCAAAAACTAAAGAAGTTATAAAGGATTTTCTTTTGCAACCCCCTAATTAATATCAATCATACGCCCTCAAACAAAAATTTTTAAAAATTCGGTGTTTTTTTTAATTTGACTAACAATATTGTTAAAGTTGATGTTGTTGTATAAATATGAAGCATTATTTTTTGGCTTATTATTAATAAAAAGCTGCTACTAAGCTTTTAATTACTTGTCATAATAACAAGTTTAATTTCAAGTGTGATAAATGAACTTCATTTGACTGCAATTAGTGTTTTTGTTGGTTTAATTTAAAAGGAATTTAAGGACATTCTCTAATTACCAGAAACAAACTTTTTCTTAAATCTTAAAATAATTAACAATTTTTTAAACAAACTTTGTTTATTTTTTTTTTTGTATGAAATTCAAACCTCCTGGTTTCCAGTAACATCCTGTTGCTTATTAATTGTTCACACTTGGCCTTAAAACTCTTGAATTGTTTTGTTTTTTTCTTCTTTCGACAGAAAAAAGAACAACAAATATTCTTTTGATCTTTTGTTTACACAACATTCCTTTTCTTGAACAATGTTAAGACAAATCAACAAGTTTTGAGGGTTGAAAAAACTCATAATTTGGCAGTTAACATGAACATGAACAAACAATAACACTTGGCTCAAGTTTGGCTAAAGGATTATATTGTTGTTTTTAAGGATTTCTAAAGCCAAAAAAATGTATATGCTTAATAGCAACAAAGAGCTAAAATAAGCTAAACCATAAAGGGCTGAAAAGGATATATTAAAAATAAATAAAAAATTAAAGAAAAATATAGGAAAATATATAAGAAAATAACAAAAGCTAAGGAGATTTAAGTTATAGTTTAATAATGAAAAAGAACATAAACATATTTGGAAAAATTAAAAAAAAATTTCTGAAAATCTCAAAAAATTTTATTTTTGAAAAATCATTTTCAAAATAAATTTTTGTTAAAGATATTGTTGAGTATCAAAATTTTTTATTATTTTACTTAAAGTGTGAAATGCTGGCTTTCATAAACAGCTTATAGTTTTAAAAAAGCTTTAAAAGAAAAAAAGTTATTAAGCTTTTTCCTTAAAAAGTACCTAATTAATAACACTCATACGCCTTCGTTAAGAAAATTTTAAAATTTTTATTTTATTTAACTAAAAGGTTTTAACAAATTAAAACTATTTGTTTAGGGTTAAGTTAAATGTAAAGTATTTTTCTGGAATTTTTAACCCACAAAATTTAAAGTCTACTTTTAGGCTTTGTTGCTTTTTCCTTTAACAAAAAACCTGACTATCAATTAAAACTTTACGTTGAAGTTGAAGAGAAAAAGACAAAAAAAAAAAAAAAAAAAACGATTGTTTATTGATAAAACTAAGGCATACTTTTAGTTTGTCTCAATTATATTAACTAATTATTAAACTAAAAAGTTATTTGGTTGCCAAAAGGCACAACTTTTAACTTCACTTTGCCCAAAACAAAAGGACATTAAAAACGGTAAATAAAAGAAAAATTATTTATGAACTTTATTTTCTATATAAAAATTTAAATGTTCAATTCGTTTAGTTGAAGTTCTTGATAAGTTATGCAGTTTTTTTTTAAAGCGCATTGCAGATATCATTGAGACATTTATAAGGTTTTAGTTTTTTTATAGTTTACTTAAAGTTTGTGGCTTAAACGCCTTATAAATGACAGTTAAAAAGAAGTAAGTTTTTTTGCTTTTCCTAAGAAATCATTAAATTTGCATGTTTTCGGGCATAATGCAAATGAGGCTCTAAAGCTAAAAAACAGAGTAATAAAAAGAAAATATTATAGAAGAAATCATGTTAAAGAGAAACAAACAATTGAATTGTTTTAAAACAATTTTTTGAAAATTTTTTGTCTTAATCTTGAGCTTAATGTAAAGCTTTTGAAAACTGTTTAAAATGTTTTTATTTCCTCCAATTTTTAAGAAAAATTTGAAGAAAAAATTTGTTGGCAAAAATTTTTTTTGGAAAAATCTAAAAAATTGTTAAAGCAAAATTTAAATTTTAAAAAAGTTTCTTCCATAAAATTAAGCTTTATTTGTGGACTTTTATTAGCTTTTAAAATTTTCCAAATCCCTTGAAAATTGTTAAAGTTATCAACAATTTTCCTTAACAACCTAGTAATTAATATCAATCATACGTGGTGTAGCACAAAAAAGTTTATTAATGAAAATTTACCGTTTTTAATAGGAAATTGTTAAGAATAATTAATGCAAACGTTAAATTGAAAAGTTTTTTTTATAAAATCAAAGAAAAATTTTTAAAAATTTTGCAATTTTATTAAAATTTTTTAAAAAACAAAAATTTTGAAAAAAAAAAATTTAATAAAATTTCAAATGTAAAGCATACTTTAAACCCCTGAAAGTATGCTTTACATTTTAGCTTTTATAACGATTGCTTTTGCGTCATAATATCACCCCGTTAAGTAGGCTTAATAATTTGCCTAAACACATACAATTTTTAAGGTCATGAAATGTAAATATCTCACAGAATGTGTGGGTAGATGTTATAACATCCCTCACTAATCATATGATAATCCTTACGCACACACATATCTAGTAACAAATACACATGTTTGGCTGTTATATTGATATATGTGTAAGTATTTGTGTATTAGTCATGTGCTTATGTATCGGTATTTGTTAACCGGATTTCAGAAATTTTAAACACCTGCTATGCGTGGATTTCCTTGCCTGTCTAACATTATGCCTGTTGATTTCGATTCACAGCAGCAGTGGCAGCAAAAAAAAAAAAAACACTCCACCAACGAAACAACAATAATTTAGGCTAATTGTTTGTTTAAGTACCAGACAGAGAGGCTGGGAAATTTGCTGAGGAAAATTTTTCGTTTCATTTAAAGGGGGGGGATGATGATGAGCAAACACTCATACACTTTAGAACTTGGTAAAGTAAAAGAAGCTGTTTAATAAAAGCTAAAGTTTGAGGGGGGGACTAAGTGCATTACATTTTCCTTTAAATTAAACACAAAAACAATTGCTTTTGGAAACTAATAGCTAAGTAGGAAAAAAGCTCGAAAAATTGGCGACATTTTGGAATTTCTCATAACTAACTGGGTTAACAGTAAAAGAAACAAGTAAATTTTTTTGTTAGCTGAAAAGAATATTAGAAAAAAATTAACAGTTAAATAAAAATAAAACGAAATTTGTAAATGACAAACAAAACTAGACAATACTCAACATACACTAGCCAATTTATTCAAATTTATATATATAGAATTTTCTATAACATAATGAATCAATTAAAATTATATACAAAATAAAAAGTTTTAAAATTTTTTGAGGAAAAAACTTTCATATTTAAAAAATCATATAAAATCATGGTTAATACCCTGAACAAGTTTTGTATAATTATATGATAGCCCCTTATGTTTGCTTTCATTCGGCATTTAAAGTTTTTCAATCCTTTAAAAACACAAAGTTGTAAAGGATTTTCCCGAACTACTGCCTATTAAATATCAATCATACGCCTGCGTATCCAAAAATGTTTAATTATGAAATTTTGATACTTTGAAATAAATAT